TTGGTTCTAAGCCAGAAGCACCCCCGTTTTTCCCGCATTGCTGGGCGCGGGGATCGGCGTGGTCGGCTCCGCTTTGCCTAGCATTCCGATTTGCGTTGGCAGGAGGGGGAGCGGGGAGCTAAGCTGCTGTCTGCCAACCCGGAATTGGGGGCGTTTGGACTCCCTATTCGCAAGGTCGACACCTGTCCCCCCTCCTGTGTCCTTTTTTGGGCCAAATGTGGGCATGCGCACGGCAAAGGCTCAAGGAGCCTCTCAGAGCAAGCAACTCACTGCCCCAGCTAGGTTCAAGAAACTTTTCTTGGCCTTTGGTTCCTGGCAATTATCGCAGTGGGAACCAACTTGTTTGTTTCCCAGCAGGTCGTTTCTGTTTTGCGCTTTTGCTGGTCTGCCTTGCATCTGAAGCGACCAGAGCTGCCTACTTGGACAGAACGTGCTCCGCTTTTCACTCCCGCCTTCTACTTTGCAGCCTGCCATCCTGCATTTTCAGGGCCAAAGGAAAAGGGGATTCCCCGGACGCCGCTGGCGCTAGGGGTTCAGCGGGGGGGCGCAAAGTAGTAGGCCTTGTCTTTCAAGAAACGGCCGAGCCGCAGTTCGATCCCTCTGGGGGGTCATTTCCACCTTCGGCCGTGACTGAGATACTCGGTCAACCGCGTTACTGTCACTTGCAATTTTCTTTGCTGCGGTGAAGTTCCATATATAGGTGGACTTTCACGTCCAGTGATGCAAACCATCGACGCATGGGAGCAAAACAAGGTATCCGTTGTCAGTTGAGAGTGGCGACCTCGACGGGGGGCTTTGGGACCTTACCACAAGAAGATTACAGGGTGCTAAATAGACAAAGTTTCTCAAATTTTACCCAAAGGCAAACACATGCGCGAGGGATCAGTGCTTGATATGTTCCAGACGCCCATTTTTAGCACCCAGGTTACACTCTTGGACATTTGGGTGAATTCGAATCAAATTCGAGCTGAGCCCGGATAGGCTCCGGAGTCCAGAGCGGAAGGGGCTTCCCTTGCTGGTCAAAGGAATGAGCCGGAAGAGAAAACTACTAGGGGAATTTCTTCCGCCCGCTCAAGCAATCATGAATAGATGTTGACATATCAACAAAAACGGTAGCGCCCACTAGCAAACCGTGCACGCGAATTTCCTCGCGGAAGCTGCCTTCCTCAGTTTCTAGAAGCAACTTGGCGAAAGCACTTATACAAGCTTATATAGAAACATGCTCGCGGAAGCTATCCTTCACACCGCGGAAGCTTCTCGGAAGGTTCCGCGGAAGGGGATAAAAAAACGTGAATGCAATTTTACAGGGAATCACAACCACCACGCTGAGGATTGGAAAGGTATGCCCCCCTACCTTCTTCAGCCGGCCGACGCTGTACTTGTTTTTCCTCAAGGGCTCCAGAGTTCCAGAGGCGCCGAGGGCGATGGATCCGAGCGAAATGTACCAGAAACCCTGCGCTGTCCGTGAGTTTCAAGTGGGTGATGTTTTGGTGCACATCAAGACATGAATCTCCACGTGCACTCACCATGCTTGAGCTTCCAACCACAACTCACAGCCACACGTTGCAAGCTGCTGGCAATGGGCGACCAATGGGCGACCAATGGGCGAGCCGCACCGAGGACGTTCGGATGCCGCCCGAAAAGGCGGGGGGAGTCCTGCCAGCCGAGTGAGCGCCTATGGCGCAAGTTTCTGGGGGATCCTTTTTTCTAAAGGTGACAAAGCCAGAAGTGAACCTGGCGGAATTGTGCCATCCTTCACCCTGGCCAATCTTCATTGAGTTTTCTTCGGGGACACCAACTGAAGTCTGAATCTGTGCGGACCTCTTGGAATCTCTGGAGAGGGCCACCAGAAACGGGTGTTTGAAAAGAACGGCCCTCATTGCGCCGCCCCTCATTTCCCCGTGTTTGGCCTCCTAACTAGCGTTCAACGCAGGTTGCGAACTGGCGCGCGCCTCACTCGGTGATTGGTATCAAGCAATGCAAGAACATGCGCCAAGAACGTGTGCCTCTTTGGGCTGGGCCTGAGTCTTGGTGCATGCTAGGGTTTGATCGCCTGTTGAGAACAAGCGAGGGATCTCCCACCCAGTCCCTTTATTTATCTACAAAGAGGTCAAGCCACGAACCTTACAACTACAACCCAACATCCCTCCCTAAGGGTTACATAGGCCCTTGTTTGGCCGTAAGAGGGCTGAAAGTCGCTAACCCTTGTGGGGCCTCTTTGAGGGGGGGTGCAGAAGCTATCAAGCCAAGCATTCTGGGATGCAATTGGCTGTTGCTGGAAGTGAAACCAGCAGGAATCAAAACATGTTGGGCGATATCCCTCACTTTCCGAGTTTCTAGAGTTGTTTTGTCGCATACTAAAGTTTTAGCTTTGCACACCGTTCTTGGTCCGAGGTTTGCTTCTTTTAGGAGCATTCACTTTTTTCCCAACAGCATCTCTGATGCTTGGGTTCTGCTTTAGGTTTTCTCTTAAGGTGCCTGGGAGCGATACAAGCTGTGACGACGGAGATAAGAAGGGATTTCCATTTCGTTGTGCTGCAGACCGGGCGTGCGATGCCGGCTGGGGGTGCAGACCGGGCGTACGAGGCTGGCTGGGGGGACGGCGGTGTGGGGCTGGCTGGGGGGACGGCGGTGTGGTGCAGACTGGGTGCGCGAGGCTGGCTGGAAACTGCCCGCGAGCGAGACTGGCTGGCTGGGGGGACGCAGACTGGGCGTGGCTGGAAACCGCCCTGGCTGGCTGGGGGGACGGCGGTGTGGTGCAGACTGGGCGCGCGAGGCTGGCTGGAAACCGCCCGCGAGCGAGACTGGCGCGGTGGACGCTCGTGACATGCGGAAACCGCCCGCGAGCGAGACTGGCGCGGTGGAGGCTCGTGACATGCGGAAACCGCCCGCGAGCGAGACTGGCGCGGTGGACGCTCGTGACATGCGGAAACCGCCCGCGAGCGAGACTGGCGCGGTGGACGCTCGTGACATGCGGAAACCGCCCGCGAAGCGAGACTGGCGCGGTGGACGCTCGTGACATGCGGAAACCGCCCGCGAGCGAGACTGGCACGGTGGACGCTCGTGACATGCGGAAACCGCCCGCGAGCGAGACTGGACGCTCGTGACATGCGACGCTCGTGACATGCGGAAACCGCCCGCGAGCGAGACTGGCGCGGTGGACGCTCGTGACATGCGGAAACCCCGCGAGCGAGACTGGCGCGGTGGACGCTCGTGACATGCGGAAACCGCCCGCGAGCGAGACTGGCGCGGTGGACGCTCGTGACATGCGGAAACCGCCCGCGAGCGAGACTGGCGTGGTGGACGCTCGTGACATGCGGAAACCGCCCGCGAGCGAGACTGGCGCGGTGGACGCTCGTGACATGCGGAGAGCGACCGCGAGCGAGACTGAAGCGGTGGACGCTTCTGACATGCGGAAACCGCCCGCACGCGAGACTGGCGCGGTGGACGCTCGTGACAGGCGGAAACCGCCCGCGAGCGAGACTAGCGCGGTGGACGCTCGTGACAGGCGGAAACCGCCCGCGAGCGAGACTGGCGCGGTGGACGCTCGTGACATGCGGAAACCGCCCGCGAGCGAGACTGGCGCGGTGGACGCTCGTGACATGGAGAAACCGCCCGAGCGAGAGTGGCGCGGTGGACGCTCGTGACATGCGGAATCCGCCCGCGAGCGAGACTGGCGCGGTGGACGCTCGTGACATGCGGAAACCGCCCGCGAGCGAGACTGGCGCGGTGGACGCTCGTGACATGCGGAAACCGCCCGCGAGCGAGACTGGCGCGGTGGACGCTCGTGACATGCGGAAACCGCCCGCGAGCGAGACTGGCGCGGTGGACGCTCGTGACATGCGGAGACCGCCCGCGAGCGAGACTGGCGCGGTGGACGCTCGTGACATGCGGAAACCGCCCGCGAGCGAGACTGGCGCGGTGGACGCTCGTGACATGCGGAAACCGCCCCCGAGCGAGACTGGCGCGGTGGACGCTCGTGACATGCGGAAACCGCCCGCGAGCGAGACTGGCGCGGCAACCGCCCGCGAGCGAGACTGGCGCGGTGGACGCTCGTGACATGCGGAAACCGCCCGCGAGCGAGACAGGCGCGGTGGACGCTCGTGACATGCGGAAACCGCCCGCGAGCGAGACTGGCGCGGTGGACGCTCGTGACATGCGGAAACCGCCCCCGAGCGAGACTGGCGCGGGGGAGGCGGAAACCGCCCGCGAGCGAGACTGGTGCGGCGGGCGCTCGTGACATGCGGAAACCGCCCGCGAGCGAGACTGGCGCGGTGGACGCTCGTGACATGCGGAAACCGCCCGAGAGCGAGACTGGCGCGGTGGAAGCTCGTGACATGCGGAAACCGCCCGCGAGCGAGACTGGCGCGGTGGACGCTCGTGACATGCGGAAACCGCCCGCGAGCGAGACTGGCGCGGTGGACGCTCGTGACATGCGGAAACCGCCCGCGAGCGAGAGTGGCGCGGTGGACGCTCGTGACATGCGGAAACCGCCCGCGAGCGAGACTGGCGCGGTGGACGCTCGTGACATGCGGAAACCGCCCGCGAGCGAGACTGGCGCGGGGACGCTCGTGACATGGGGAAACCGCCCGCGAGCGAGACTGGCGCGGTGGACGCTCGTGACATGCGGAAACCGCCCGCGAGCGAGACTGGCGCGGTGGACGCTCGTGACAGGCGGAAACCGCCCGCGAGCGAGACTGGCGCGGTGGACGCTCGTGACATGCGGAAACCGCCCGCGAGCGAGACTGGCGCGGTGGACGCTCGTGACATGCGGAAACCGCCCGCGAGCGAGACTGGCGCGGTGGACGCTCGTGACATGCGGAAACCGCCCGCGAGCGAGACTGGCGCGGTGGACGCTCGTGACATGCGGAAACCGCCCGCGAGCGAGACTGGCGCGGTGGACGCTCGTAACAGGCGGACACCGCCCGCGAGCGAGACTGGCGCGGCGGACGCTTGTGACATGCGGAAACCGCCCGCGAGCGAGACTGGCGCGGTGGACGCTCGTGACATGCGGAATCGCCCGCGAGACTGGCGCCGCTCGTGACATGCGGAAACCGTTCGCGAGGGAGACTGGCGCGGTGACGCTCGTGACATGCGGAAACCGGCCGCGAGCGAGACCGGCGCGGTGGAGGCTCGTGACATGCCGGCGAGCGAGACTGGCGCGGTGGACGCTCGTGACATGCCGGCGAGCGAGACTGGCGCGGTGGACGCTCATGACAGCTCCATGTGAACAGCCCGGCGCTCCAGGTACGCCATAATTGTCCTCTTTGCCGCACACCTGACCCGAACAAACGGTGCGAATGTGTTTCTAGGACGAACCCTCTCTTCAGAGTCTGTGGCCTCTTGGGGTTCGCCCTACTTATTTGGAAGCAGCCTGGAAGCACGTTGACATGAATATGCTGAGCACACTCGGCCCAAACAAAAGGGCGCAGGAATATCCGAACAGCTGACCCCGGTCTACGCAGATCGTGGTAACACTGTGTCTCAGACTGGTTTCAGACAGGCGTCAGACCCACCAAGTGACCGAGGCTTGTCCACACCGAGCCCCCCGCAAAAGCGCAGCGCCGGCCCCGTGTCCACACACCTGCGGCGAATCCACCCAACTTGCCATCCACACGCATCCAATTGACAACGTGCGCGGCCCTTTCCACAAAGTCACCAGTTTCAATTGGTTGCGAATGGGAAAATAGGTGGAGAAACTAACGAATCCAAGCAAGCTTACGAAGCAAGTTTGTGAAGGCCACGTGCACGGCTCCATGTGAACAGCCCGGCGTTCCAGGTGCGCCAAGATTGTCCTTTTTGCCGCACATCTGAGCCGAACAAATGGTGCCAATGTGTTTCTAGGACGAACCCTCTCTTCAGAAGCTGTAGCCTCTTGGGGTTCGCCCTACTTATTTGGAAGCAGCCTGGAAGCACGTTGACATGAATGCTGAGCACACTCGGCCCAAACAAAAGGGCGCATGAACATCCGAACAGCTGACCCCGGTCTACGCAGATCGTGGTAACACTGTGTCTCAGACTTGTTTCAGACAGGCGTCAGACCCACCAAGTGACGCAGCGCCGGCCCCGTCTCCACACACCTGCGGCGAATCCACCCAACTTGCCACCCACACGCATCCAATTGACAACGTGCGCGGCCCTTTCCACAAGTCACCAGTTGCAATTGGTCGCGAATGGGAAATGGACAAACTAACGAATCGTCTCCACACTTACGCGGCGAATCCACCCACGGCTGCCATGTGAACAGCCCGGCGTTCCAGGTGCGCCAACATTGTCCTTTTTGCCGCACACCTGACCCGAACAAATGGCGCCAATGTGTTTCTAGGACGAACCCTTTTTTTTCAGAGTCTGTGGCCTCTTGGGGTTCGCCCTACTTATTTGGAAGCAGCCTGGAAGCACGTTGACATGAATATGCTGAGCACACTCGGCCCAAACAAAAGGGCGCATGAACATCCGAACAGCTGACCCCGGTCTACTCAGATCGTGTTGTAACACTGTGTCTCAGACTTGTTTCAGATGGGTGTAGAGCGAGCTTTTGCTTTGCTTCCAATTTGGGAGTGGTAGTTTGTGCGGATCCATTTTCGGATTTCTGCAATTGGTTCTTCATGATGAATCGGATGACTTCGTGCCTTCCATGTAGTGCGGGGCTGCTGTCTTCATGTTTCACGGGGCCTGTCATGCCTTTGCCTTTTTCTCTGTGCTTGGTCAGAGCACAGGCTGCTGGCTGCCAATCCGGCTTGAGTCGCGGTTGCTCCCCTTCTTCATCTGTTTTGGGGTTGATTTCCCAACTGTGAACAATTTAAATCTGGGTTTGCCTTCGGACCCTTGAGCCGGAAAACAACGGGATCCACATGCCATGGGGAGTGAGGCTGGTTTGCTTTTGGGTTCCCGGGCTCCTCTTGTTGGCTGATGTAGCCAGGGAATGGTTTGACGCTTTCATGGACGCGCGACAAGTACGACGTGTGGTGGCTTTGAGCCATCCCCTTAGCCTTTCGAGACATGGCTCGCGCTGCCCTCTCTCTCGAGCCATGCGCCGCCAGTGGCGAAGCCTCGAAAAGGAGCCTCGGAGGAAGAAGACGTCACGCTGCGGAGATCCGCCCGGTTGACTCTCCGTGGGGTTTTTGGATGTTTGCCTCTTTAGCCGGATTGGGGCTCAAATCGGTCCTGAGAGTTTATTAGTTGTAAATGATGCCCTCTTTCTTTTTCTTTCCTTTTTTTTTGGGGGGGGGCGGGGGGGGGGAGGCATTTTGCGGTTTCATATAGTTCTTGCGGAGTCAGATGGACAATTGTAGCGGGATGAATCCGAGAAGATCCGAGATAATTAATTTGCCCAGCATGTAGAAGCTGTGTGAGGCTTCGAACATGTTAGACATGACGCTGGCTGGCATTAGGAGGAACGCCAGCGGGGCTCACTCTTGGATCTTCCGAGAGAAACCAAGTTTACGGGGGCAAGGGTTTGGAAACCACTCTTTTGGTTGACTTTTTGTGTGTGTGTGTGTTCGCACCAGTCTCCTTTCGCGTGGTTGAATCTGTTTGTTTGCTTTCTGAAGCTTTCCCAAGAAGGTCTATATTAATATACACACGTATGTAGTATATACATACAGCCCCATTAAGCTGCCTTTTGGGTTTCTGGCCTTCAACCTGAACAAGGAGTTGTCAGCTATTTGTGGACACCTGCGAGTTTGCAACAGCTACAAGCTGCGCCGTCGCCGCTTTTCTGGCGCTTTACTTAGCGCGGTCTGGCGCGAAAGACAAAAACAGTCGGCGCTGCTCCCGTTTTTTTCTTCTTCACACAGCTGCCTTAGACGTTTTTGTTGCGATTCTGGCAGAAGCACTGCTGTGCTGACAGTTTGCAGCGTGTGGATCTGAGCAAGCGATGGGCTGCAATGAAAAAGACATTCATTTTTTTGTTGGCGTGTCCGCAACCAGTGGAGCGATTTGAAGTTTGAACCGATGGGCTTCCTGCCGCTGATCAAAAGCGATCGTTTCCTCCTCGCAGTCCATCTACACCGGAGAGAAACCGCAGGGCTGCGACTTTTTGCCCCCCCCCTCTCTCTCTCTCTCTCTCTCTCTCTCTCTCTCTCTCTCTCTCTCTCTCTCTCTCTCTCTCTCTCTCTCTCTCTCTCTCTCTCTCTCTCCCTCTCTTTCTCTCTCTCTCTCTCTCTCTCTCTCTCTCTCTCTCTCTCCCTCTCTTTCTCTCTCTCCCTCTCTCTCTCTCAGCTCTCTCTCTCTACTCTTTTGGCTTTTTGGACATGAGCAGTTTCTCCTTCAAAAGACAAAGTCTTCAACTCGGGGAGGCTCGTTTCTTCCACAAATCGCCAAAACCCCCCTTCCCAAGGCGCATCGGGGAGCCGTGATCCGCGTGCTGCAGCTTCTCGGTTTTGGTTCCGTCGAAACACTCCAAATGAGGAATGCGGCATCTGCGTTGGACCAAATGAACCAAATGAAGTAATTGAATAATACAAAACTGGGGAATGCGGCTTCCTTATTTAATAGTTGGACCAAATGAAGTAGTTTGTTGGAACTTGTTTGAGGTCTGGGCCTGAAACAGTGGACGGGTCGTTGGAACTTGTTCGAGGGCCGAAGCAGTGGGCAGTGGGGGAGCGCGTTTAAGCCGAGGAAGCTTGACATAACTCAGGGTACCAGTATTTAACCAGGGGCGGCATGAGCCTGAGGGATGAATAGATGGGTGTCCCAAATTTTAGTGAGAATCCTGCACCCCATCTTTGTAGGATGGGTTTGTTACTCCGGGGTCAACATTGACTGGCATAAAAGGTGTGCCCTTCCACCAACGAGCCTGGAACCTGACAGAGGGTCCCTTTAAAAGGACAGTTGTCTTCCAGAAACCTCCTGTCAATTTCCATGTTGAGTAACACCCAGGAGAGTTTAATACGGCTCCCAAGCCCAAGCCTTCTCCTATCTGACCAGGTCTTAACAGTTTGAGGAGATGTTGTCGGGAGTGGGGTGGTAGGGTCTCTGACTTCTGGCGTTCTTACCATCCCTTGACACCCCTTGTGTTGTTTGGGGTGTACTGCCCAAGGGTGGGTGGGGTTGGCAGGGACGGTCATGGACCCTTTAGCAGGCAAGTTGGACAACCGATGTAAAGACTTCTGGGGACCACGACCCTGGCGGACGTTTGACCTTGGCTCGTGAGGGCCGGTTCACGCCATCCCTGCAAAAAGTTGGGCGACACATGGTGACATGGAATGTATAGCTTGGTCAGACGAAGCATGGCATGTGGGTCTGTCTTTTTTGGAGGGTACCTTGTTTTGTGGTCTTTGAACAAATGGAACACCTACTCTGAAAAAAGACACACCCATTTTTATGATGGCTGGCCGCTCTTGCAGGTTCAACATCCTGGCCGAGTCCCTGGCTGAAGGTTCCAGCGAGGAAGTCGTGCGGCCGACTGTGCCGGCAGGCATGGAAACCTCTAAAAAACGGCTTTCAGTGGTTGGGAACATGGCGTTTCCTTGGCGGTTCCTTTTTCACAGCCATACATACCCTTAGACTTTCGTGTGTTTTGGACATTAAGGGACTTTTGCGCATCACCTAATTTGCTTATCGCCTTTTCGGAGGTCTCTTGGGAACTCATTGTGCATTTGACGGTTCGCTAAATATGGACCAGGATCAAGCAAGTTTACTTTTGGTGGGGGCAAAAGCTGAGGTATATAGCTTTGGTGTCCAATCTGAATTGATTACGTTTCCTGTGGTTGATGTTTAATGGTGATACATCTTGTTGGTTTCGGCATCCCAAGATTAGTTCAAAGAACCCTGTTTCGACAACACCCAACCCGTTCCCGATCGATGTTGTCCCGATCAGGCAAGGGTGGCTCGATATAGGACAACGAAATGGACCACCACCCGAATTGACACCCCCAGATGTCAAACTATCAGTGGTCTATGGTCATTGGGGAGGGACATTTGAGAACTCGCCAAATTGTCCCATATTTCTGGTGCGGATGATGTGGAGCATGTGTTGCAACCTTTTAAGGTTTTAGCTATGGATCGGAATCACATGGAAGCAACTGGGCCCTGTTTTGCCATCGTTTTGCTAGGGACATGAAGGCATGCCCTTTTGTGAGGTCTACATGATTTTATATCTTAAGGCTAGCAAATTCAAGACAGAGTCTGAGCACTGCTTTTGTTGCACCCCAGACTTAGGGCCATGGCCATTGCAGCCTAGTGAGAAGAAAGCCACTAGTGCGCCAAGTTTTTAGCCGGGATATGGGGCACCCCCCAAATGGCTTACTCCCAAGATGGCGCTGCCTGGTTCGAGTCCCTGAAAAACCACCCCAAAAAGGCTACTCCGGGAAAAGAAAGGCTCGTACGGTCAGAATTATATTAACAAAACGGCGGCACCTGCAGCACCAGTGTCCAACATGCGTGTCGCTCTTTTGGGACCCCTGTTTATGTGATTTTCCTGTTGGTTTTCCCCCAAAAGCCACCAAGAACAAGCGGTGCCCTCGAAAAACGACGGACCCATTAAAGGTCTACAGCCTTTTTTGTCAGGCAGAATTCCACCCACTGAAATGTTTTTTTTTGGAATCGACTTCGAGTGGCCAAGGTAGAGCCCTCGGAAAAAAGGGCCGAGCCACCGAGCCACCGAGCCATTCGAGGCCACTTCGCCGCTCCGGGCAGTGCCGGGTGCCACTACCACTCGCGCCTGGTTCACAGCTGCCACACCTTCCGCACGCTGAGGTGTGGGGGGACGGAAGGTGCAAGTGGCGGTCGAAGTGTGCGTTTGTTTGTTTGTTTGTTTGTTTGTTTGTTTGTTTGCGTGTTTGTGTGTCTGTGTGTGTGTGTGTCTCTCTGTGTCTGTGTCTGTGTCTGTGTCTGTGTCTGTGTCTGTGTCTGTGTTATTGAGGGTGCCTGTTTGGTATGACACCCAGGCGTGAACGGTCATCTTGATCCTAGGCAATTGGATTCCTCTCATGTGTAATCACCTTTTTAGCCGTGTGTCAAAAGGGCGACCCAAGAAGCTTCTGGTTTCCCTTTACACCAACCTGACAAGGCACTCTCAAACAAACACACGTGTGCACACGCACACAGTAACATAGAGACAGGGCTGAAAAAACAACCCCGCGCCTTTTCGTTATGTAAGGGGCCGTCTCTTAACTTGTTTCGCAGGTCAAAACCATTGTAAACCGATACAGAGGAAAAAAATCCGATACCCCCAGAAGCCATGAAGACACACATCAGGTCCTAGTTGTTGTCGCAAACCAAGATTGCGGAATCATAAATTTGCAGGGCCCAAACCGATACCCAAACCGATACCCAAACCGATACCCAACCGATACCCAACTCATTGGCCGCCATGCCGAATCCAACCAGCTGCCCTGCAGCCTTCTCTGGAGCTGCCAACATGTACTTTGTGTACTACATTTGTACTGAAAAGCTGCGACTTCCGCTGTGGAGCTGCCAAAATGTACTTCGTATACTACACCATACTACACTTGCTTGCACTGAAAAGCTGCGACTTTCGAGCCGGAGCTGCCAAAGTGTACTGCGCATACTACTGAAAAGTTGCTACTTTCCAGCTGGAGCTGCCAAAATGTACTTTGTGTACTACACTTGTACTGAAAAGTTGCGACTTTCCAGCTGGAGCTGGGAGCTGGCAGAGTGTACTTCGCATACTACACTTGTACGGAAAAGTTGCGACTTTCGAGCCAGAGCTGCCAAAACACTGCAAACCGACGCAGAGGAAGAAAACCGATACTGACCGATACTGAGGCATAAGGATACAAGGGTTGTCCACGGGTTTTTTTTTCAGCCCAGTTTGTTTCACCTGAGATGGTGGATATTCTTTCGTGTGCTTTCAAAGCTGCCTCAAAAAAGCGTAAGCCTCGAAAAAACACGAAAAGCCAATTGCAGGGGAGCCTGAGTAGCCTGAGTAGACAGGACAAATGTATCCAAGCCATTTGGGTAGCCAAAATGGGTTTGACACAAGTTTAATTCTTGTCACCTGTATCAAGAAGACACTCAACCCAGCGTGCCATACTTTTCACCTATCATTGGTCTCTCAAGGTGGTTGCACGTTGAGGAGTGCTACGCCCAACGGACAGTGCGTCATGGTTCGTTTCCCAAACCAGGAGGCCTCCCAAACAGGGGTCCTTGCGGGGCCTCTGGTGAGATCGGGTTTTTTCCGGCAGAATCTACCTGGCAAAGGCGGCTCACGTATACAACGTGCCTCCGGTCCGCCGAGACTGGGAAGAAGGTATACTAGGTCCCCCAGCTAGGTGCACTTTCTCACCCCTTTTTTGGGGGAGGGTTCCCCTACTAAAACAGACTACGAAAAATTGGGTACCCTTATTCTAACCTCTCTACTGGAGGACCTAGTACATAATGCATACCGAGATGCGGAATGGGAAACCAAGCTCTGGCAAATCATGTATTTTGCCTATTTTATGGTACGCTCACCGATTCAGGGGTAAAACGATTCCACCATGATGTAGGTCCTTCAACTTTGGGATCCAACTCTTATTACAAGTTTTGGAATGTTTGCAAGTTTGCAGCTTGCGAGGTGCTCCCATTCTGAAACGGTATGTCTCAATTTTTCGGGGGAGCCCAAGCGGCCTCGCTGCCCTTGGGCATCTTGTTGAGCGGGGAATCGGAGCCGAACCGGCGGAGGTCCCACCTCGACTGGGCGCCTTGGTGCGCAGTTTGCGGGGCCCCGACCGTTCGGCATGGAGCCGCAGCAACCAATTTGGGGGTGTTCAAACTATACTTGGCTTTGGTGCATTTTGCCAAAGGATGTTAGGACTTTAACTTTTTGCCGACTAATGAGTTTTCCATTGGACCACTAAAAGCTCAACTTTTAGCAGGGGAGCGGAAAGCAACCGAGTTAGGTTGCAACCCTGGTCATAAGGGGGACCAACCTGAGTTACCCAGAAAACCTGGTAGCTATTTACCAAGTTGGTTGAAGGTGCTGGGTAGTGGCTTGTTGCCCATGGCCACTTCGCCAACGAAAACAGTCGGGACTTGTAGGGTGTTTGTTGGTTTAGTGGGAACTCGCGCATGGTTTAGTGTGCGTTTTCGGGTTGAACGCTCTAAGTCGATATCCGGGAAGCCTTTCGGGCACCCCGATTTGCGGGTCCTCGGAGAAAAGGCAGGCGGTCTACTGAGGTCTCACAAAGGAACCCTGAAATTGATGACTCTCTGTTGCCCCATAAAGGCTAGCATCCGAGCACGCCAAGCCAAGGGGCTGTATGCACGCATGGAACTTGGGCATTTTTCAGTGCAACTGGTTGCTCCACTTTTTTGGCCCTGAAAGGAGACCTTCTGCCTGAATCTTTGGCACGTGGCTGAACCATTTGATCAAAGGTCCTTCCTGGCACAGGTTTCGATTCCAGTTTTTTGGGGGGGAATTGGTCCCAATTCGCTTCAACGGAGTCTGTCAGTTTGATTAACTGGTGAGGAAGTTGCCTAGTCTCGCAGCAGCTTTTGGAGACTACTTTGGAGCTTAAGGTCGGAAGGCTCATGTTAACCTCCTTTTCCAAAGTAACTTCCAACGTTATTTTGAGGCAGTCGCTTTGCTGGGCGCGTGGAACCGCATGGCGCAAAGTTGTATCTGAGGAAACTCGGAAGGCGCGGATTGTGGACATCCTGCTGCAAGCCCAGGCGAGCCGCAGTCAGAAACGAGGGCTCTGAAGTTTTGGGCGATGGTTGCAGGTCTGCGTTTGTCACGGACTTTTGCGAAATCAACCAAAAGGGAAGACGTTGTTCCTCCCCTAGCCACTGGTTTGGGAGTCTTGGGTTTTCGAATCATTCGGTAGAAATGGGTAAAGGGTCTCTTTGGAAGCCACACCCAGATCTGGGAGCTTGGCCTTTTCGAAATACTTGGGGAGTTTCCTGCAAGTTTGGTGGGTTTACGGGCAAAAACAACAAACCACCTACTTTCAAACCTACCCTTGTTTACCCTCCAGGTACCCTCCCACAGTTGCTATGTTTGTGGGAGGTAATTGTGTTCGATCCACTTTCCGTGATAACCTTGAAGAATCCCAAACAACGCATGTGACCAAGTCGTCTTGCGGAATGGACGTGGCAGCCCGGCTTTAGCCTCGCAAAGACAAGCATGTCCCACATGAGGTTCGCTCAGAACCACTATTACTAGTGGTCTATGGTCCATTTGGGAGGCGCAGGGAGGGACCTACTAAGTTTCATCACAAACCAGGGAGTCACTGATTTGCCCGTGTCCTTTACAGGAAACAAGTAATGTTTGACCATGGCTCACAACGATGGCTTTCTCGTTTGGAGGGTGTCGATTGCTTTTGAGAAGCACACCCACAATAGGAGTCCCGTTTGGGTCCGTTTCAAAACGAAGCCAAATGAACACCGTTTTTGGATGGGTTCACGTCAACGGAACAACTCATCCGGCATTTGTTTGGAGCCATGCCTCATGTTTGGATGGCTTCGAGGCCTTGCGACGGGTTTTCACTTTTTGGATGCGTTAAAAACGAGCCGAACAGTGGGGGTCTCGGCTTCAGGCGGACCTGATCTGCCTGCAGGAGGTGGACAACTTTGGTGAGCTGAAAGCGGCCCTCGAGGGAGCTGGCGGCTTGGTTCGGGATGGCCCTATTAACCCTTCGCCATGTTCCCTTTGTTGCTTTTTTGGGTTCCTGGGCTCTGTCCTTTTCCTGGCGATCGAATCTTTCCTTCGCGGTCTTGAGGTTTCCTGGGTCCTCTGTGGTTGCTGTCAAGCCGGTGCTAGGCTCATGACTATTGCCCGTGGGCATCAAACCAGCCCGGGATGGGTCGGAGCCCTCCAAAACAGAAATTTGGACAAAGGGTCTATGTGTAGTCATAGGTGTCGTTTTTCGGTTAAGTTGGCCAGACATAGATGGCCCGGCGCTGGTTTAGATTGGTTTCATTTAATTTACCAGGGCGATCCATTTAGTCAAAGGTCACCTATTTTATGGTAACTCAGTTGTCCAAAAAAGCGAATCGACCTGAACATGGCCTGTATTTTTCCTTTGGCATAGGCCCCACAAAAGTTGATCACCTTTTATGTCCAGGTCCCCACGAGGCAAGTGAGATAAGGTCGGCAGCAGATAATCAATAGTATACTTGTATATATATATATATACATATTGGTGTGTCTTGTTTGAGAGTACCCCCCCCCCCCAAAAAAAAAAGGTGGTTAAAATGGGGAACCGGGAAAGCCAAAATCCATTTTGAGGGGTCCGCCCAAAAAAGACGTATACCCAGATGATATTGTTTGAGTGGCTTGAAATGGAAGCCCGACCTTCCGAGCTCCCGCTGGTCTCGTTTGTGCCTGGAGCCTGGAACCGATGTATTTCTTCTTGGAACGTCTTACGCGAACCCAGCTGATCGAACCGGGCGGCGAATCTCGTAGCATGGGGACTCCAAGCAGACCAAGCAGATGTTCAAATTCCAGCGCAGGAGTTTTTGGAGACCCGGTTTCTGTTTGTTGGCTAGGTCCCCCAGTGGTGCCCTTTTGCCTCTTTTTTTTTGGGGGGGTCTTCGGAGGGGGTTCCCCTACTAAAATAGACAATCCAGAAAAAAGTCGGTACCAACTTAATCTAACCTCTCAGGTCCCCAGTAGTGCTCTTTTGCCTTTTTTGCTTTGGGTGGGGGGGGGGGGGGAGGGGGTTCCCCTACTAAAATAGACAAACGACAAACCAGAAAAAAGTTGGTACCAACTTATGTTAACCTCTCCAGCGGAGGACCTAGTTGGCTCCCTTTTCACCCAACTGCCGTTCCTAAGCTCCCGTCTTTGAGTCCATGGACTTGGGTTCCCTTTGAAACCTTTCGTTGGGTGGGTGATCCTTCGGCATCCTTCGGCGTTTGTTTTTTTTCCCGGGCAGGTCCAGCTCTAAGTCCATGGACTCATGGGTTCGAAACCAAGTCTTCCCCCCCCCCCCGGTGATCGAGTCTTGCGATTTTCTTTCCGAAACGCGTCTCGTCTTTTTTTCGGAGTTGGAACATCTTTTTGGGGTGGTTGTTTTGAGCAGAGACCAAAAGGAACACCGCCATTTTGGGGGGTGCACCAAAAAAGACACACCCAAATCACCACGTGGGACCCCACGTTCATGTTCCTTCTTGGACAACCACTTCATGTTTTGCAACCTACCTCTAGGTCCAAGCAAAGTAACCAGAAGAAATGGTCTGGTATAACTCTTTTGGACCCATTGTAACGGCACCTGGGTGGCTCGTCTTTTGCTTTAGGAATCGGACCCCCAAAAAAAACAAACACAAAGTGGGGGGGGGGTGCTTTTGGTGTTCCTTTCAACGACCAAGAAAGAGGTAGGTGACTCCACAAACCGATGCATCCAGGTTATGAGGGCCTCTTCTGCAAGAAGGCCTGGAAGAAGATCCGGGACGGTAGCGCAGTCTTCTGGCTCCGCGAGAGGAGCCTCGCGACCAGAGCGAATGTATCGATCGGTGTGACCTGGGCTTCTGGCAGTTTTCGGCTTTCCCATGTGAAAAGGCAAACTTGCAGGCGACTGGCAGTCGCCCCCTTCAATTTTTGGGTGCTCAAAAGCCGAAATGTTCTAGTTGCCCAAAGGAATACCACCGGACACCCTGATTTCCGGGTCCTTTGGCAAGTGAGGATGTCTTTGGAGCACTCGGAGTGCTTCCAGATTCTGCCCAGCAGTGCCATGACCGCGCTGCTGCTTCGCTTTTCTTTGGCCACCGGCGAGCGTGTGGTGGTTTGTGCGACCCACCTGAAGGCCGGCTTCTCCGCTGAGATGGAGGTGGGACATGAACCATGAGTTCGCCTGCGACACAGTGGATAGACAGAATCCACATCTCACCAGTTGGGAGAGATGACACCCTATGAATACAGGGACATACTACTGGCAAAAAAAACCGCCCACCTACTGGTGCGAAGTGGATTTTGCATGACAAAATCTGAACGGCACCCAAAATCCTAAAATAATCATGCTACAATTTGTCTAAAGGCGTTCTACCAACTGGTTGTGAGGCCAACGTAAGCTTTGTAGCCATTTGGGTAGCACAAAACCCACTGGGTCTTGGGCGGTGCTCCGTAGTGCTAAGGAGCACCCATAGTTGTTGGTGGTCCTAGAGAAGATTTTGGTGACGGATCAATTTCTACCTGGATTGGGGGTAGCACAATTTTATTCCATCTTGTAGTTGACCAAAGAAGCAGTTACGAGATGCCGAACAGTTGTTTTCCCATGTTTATGAGAATCGGAGACTTGACATCAGTTTCCTATGACTGAGTAGCTACATGGCTGGCTCGCTTTTTGGGGGCTTTAAAGGGAAACAACAAGGACGATTCCGTTGCACAGTTTCGAGGAACCGGTTCGATTCCCAAAAACAAGACGAGCCCAACCACATCAAAGTACTTGTCTTGCTGGTTCTCAGCAGGGAATCAAGAGAGAGGGGATTTGGGAATAAACCGGAAGAGGATTTGTTTAAAGGAAACCACCAGTTGGATGGTGCATAGGGGTCATTCCGTTTCTCATTCCCTGCAAGCTTTTGTTCAAGGATTTCTTTTCAACGTTGAACCAAGCCCATCGTTTATGTTGGGGTGTTCCTCTCCAAGTGTTTTATACGGATCTCCACCAAGGGGACCCGCCCGGACACCTGTTGCTGTGAATCTTTCCTTTGGTGCATTTTGCTTGGATGTTAGGACTTTAACTTTTTGCCAACTCATGGGTTTTCCATTACCATGATGCATTTAGGACCCTCAAACAGCCAGGTTTTGAGACTCCGTCTTTCATTGAAAGCCCCAGGAGCCTTTGGGTAAACCACTAAAGTTGACAACTTTTAGCAGGGGAGCAGAAAGCACCCCAGGATAAACGTTTTTTTGTTGTTTTTTTGTGTTTGTTTTGGACGTGTTATTTGGATCATCATGTGGCTCTCTTTAGTTTCTGTATGTATATTTATTTCTTTTTCTTTGGACGCTAATCTCACTTTAGGTTCCCCCAACACTAATGTTTGTTCCACTAAACCACGAGAAGTTGAAAGCTTGTAGCAGGGGAGCAGATTTCGCAACCGAGTTAGGTTGAAAGCCTGGTAGCCCAGTTACGTTGGTTGAAGGTGCTGGGTGGCTGGTTTCCCACGGCACTTAGCCAACGAAAACCGAGGTTCCCTGCCTCTGGGCACCAGCCAATTCGCCCAACGCCAATTCTGAGGAGCATCGCCTGGCCCAGGCGACGGCGCTGGAGAAGCGGCTGCGGCACTTTGCGGGGAGGGAGGCCACCATTTTGGCGGCCGAAGCTCGCAGGCGAAGGTGGTTTTTTGTTTTTGTGTCGTTTTTTGTTTTTTCTTTTCGGGTTTGAGTTTATACTCCTCCTCCTCTTCCTCCTTGCTCCTCGTCCCTGCTCCTGCTCCTCAAATCGACCTCCTCCTCCTCAAATCGTCGTTGTGCTCCTCCTGCTCCTCCTCCTCCTCCTCCTCTTCCTCCTCCTGAAATCGCCTAAGTGCGGCAAATCTGTTTGAAATCGGCATTGGGTTCTTATGACGGTAGTTATCACGTCGCTCACTCTTCCATTTGCATTTTGCCCTTTTGGATTCATGAGTAAAAAGCTTGCATAACCAAGGCCAAGGGCTGTGAAGAACTTGGCTAAGCTTGCATGAGATTCCTAGGCCTTTGAGGAAGTGCATTGCACATCAAACAATTCCCCGAAACTTCAATCTTCACGCACGTGATTTTGACAGCCCAAGGTATCAATGAATCATGCGTAGACCTATGTAGACATTGGAGAAATCGTATCCAAGCAAGAAGTGGCAATCATGGGTAGCCTTAGGATCGAGGAAAGGGGAATAACAGATGCTTCACAAATACTCTTCAACAAGCTTCTTTATATCAAAGGCAGCCACCACCTCGAGGGGATTGTACATTTGGCGCCTCAAAGTCACCTTTTGTTCGTTGGTTGCCGATTGGACCCTGACCATGGCCTGAAATACCGCAGTCTGTTGTTGCTTTGCTCCAGTTTCTGACAAGTCGCCAAAGGTATGCGCGAAGGAATGCCATGTAAGGGATGCCAAATGCATGCACAGCACACAAAGGAATGCACATGGCAAAGATTGAAGCCGCACGGAGAAATCTGAATTGAAGCCAAGTTCTTCTCTTGCCAATTACAGAATTTGCATCCCGCAAACACATCGTTGATAATTGTTGAAACAGGGCCGGAACTTGTCAGCTTGGTCGCAGATTGTTGTCAAGTGGCGTAGCTTGGCAGCCACTGTGTGTAGATATTCGTGTAGAGGAGTTTAACGACTTTCAGCCACCTCCAGCCATCTTTCGCTGCGAGCTCATGGCGAAGAATATGTGGAAAAGACGCGCTGGCTGGCGAGACGCGGCGTTTTATCCTTGGATCGCAAGAGCGTCAGTGGTGATGCTTGCAACAGCAACAGCCACTGGAGTTGGCTGCATGCTCATTCCAGGAGCCTGACTCAGCCCAGAAGATTCAGCCTTGCATGCGTCCATAATATGTATCTCGGACAACTCCTGTGTAGTTCGCACATGTTAGGGGCAGACCAGGAGAAACTGTTTATTATGAATGTTGCTAAGGTTTTAATCTTGCTAGCACAAGGGGTTGACTACCCATTCTTTTCAGCCATCGTTCTTTTCAAAAACCAGCCATTTCCGGCTTTTTGGTGGCTTTCTAGAAAGAAGGATCCCTGGAAAGAATGGAAATGGAAGCTAGCCCTAGAAATATCTTCTGATACCTTGTCAGATGTTGCTGATGCTGACTGCCCACCTGAAATACCCAAAAGGTCCCACAGCCTGGCCATTGAAAAGTGTGATTTGCTGGTTGAATTGGGGATGTTTGTGTCGATGTTGATGCAATGGCCAGGACTTGGCTTCAAGATCTTGGTTGGAGCTCTGGGAACTGCCATGCTGGGGATGGAATGGATTGCAATTGTGCTTTTGCAGCCCAAGAAAGATGAAATGGATGACTACGACTATGACAATTGGTTTGTCAACATGCTCGACGGGTCAGATTGAAGCCGCCCAGCGACATGGCAGCTCGTGAATTGGTCCAAGTTTATGAACTTGCAGAGAACAGAAGGTGCCGAACAGAATGCATTGGCATTGTCATGCCTGGGTGGTGGACATTGTGGTCTATGAGACGGGCTCGGTGTTACTGTTCATTGCTCTTGGAGCAAAAACATCGCGGCATGGCGCTTGGCAAGGTCGATGCAGAGACATTGTCGGACCGATCCTTTTCGTGCCGTTTGCAGTTGGTTTTTGGACGCGAAGCGGCCTATGCCGCACATGTCTGGGCTGCATCCGTCCCATGTGTCACGCATCTTGCTTGTTTGGAAGCTCCTGAATCTATTTGGACATTTCGCGTTGGATGCATTGGCACCTCGCCGAGACCTGTACAGTCAAGAGAGCTGACCTCCTCGAAACGGCTGAGTGCCTCTGCGCGACTGTCGAAACAGTATGTATATATAGTATATATATATAGTATATATATAGTATATATATATAGAGTATATATATAGTATATACAAAGAATATATACATATATATATATAGTGTATATATATATATATAGTATATATAGTGTATATAGTATATATAGTATATATCGTATATATATATATAGTATATATAGTATATATAGTGTATACATATATAGTATATATATAGTGTATATATAGTGTATATATATATAGTATATATATAGTGTATATATATATATATTGTATTATGTACACATATTCAGCTTTCCTTTAATTGGTGGCCTGGAGCCCTGTGGTTTGAATTTGTGCCGCGGGTCGAATCCCCAAACCACCAATCCAAACCACCAATTTGGGGTCGTCTGAGATACACGTGATGCAGATCATATAGGAGCAAGATTATTGAGCGTGATTATAGCTGGGACAACTGGGGCTCTTCCCCTTATGATGGTTATTACCTACTTACCAAGTGGCTTGAACTCTCAAATGGGTCTCATTTCGGGCGAACGAGGAGGGCATAGGGACTGGAGGTAAGGAGGTTGGACGCCATGAAGACTGAGTGGCCGAAGCTTGCGATATTTTTGTTTTGAAATCTCGGCTCGGGCCTCCGGGTTTTGTTCTTGTCTTTTGGCTGGCGGGTTCCCTTCAAAGTCAGCTAAACCCAACTTGCTGGTGCGATAGGCCGGGCATGAGCCAATGACCCCATATAAACCATCCCTTGTGGTCTCCTTTAAAGAAATCCCTGGGTTCATTCCCACTTTGAAACATTCCGTACCGAGCACCAGCAAGCCAAACAAGAGTCCTCTTTTCCACCTGGCTGCTGGAGGTCGCTCGATTTTTCCTATTTGAGCCGTTGAGAACGGATTTGGAGTGGCAGAGGCCAGTCGCAACTAGAAATAATTAGAAATAGGCGCGGCCGCGCTCTGAGTTCTTCACATGGTTTAGCCGCGCTCTGAGTTCTTCACATGGTTTGGGATAGACCCCGTTTGGGCCAGGTTTTCATTACGACTCACGGCTATCTTCCAAACCTTCCCTTCAAAAAGGGGCTCACCACTGGAGGTGTGGGTCTGGTTTCCTATTGGTTTCCGTGATTTCAACAGAAAAGCAGAAAAGAGGCATACTCAAAATGTTGTTTGCTTTTACTTTGGTCTCCCCTTACATCCGCCCCCCAAAAAGCGTCCTCCCAGTGAAGCTCCATGTCGACGCTTGGCATTCCATCAGTTAACGTCCAGGGGCCCGCCAAGCAATGCCCAAATTTCTCCCCAAGCTCACCGAATGCTTTGTGTTTCCATTTCACCCATACGATGGTTCCTTGCTTCCAAGTCCTTGGTTCCAATCTTTCAGCTTGTCGTTTGTGCCCAGTGCTGTCGTAGTGGAAAAGCAACTGTTCTCCAAGTTTGACTTTGGCGCCGCGCCGGATTTTCGTGTTGGTACCCCCTTGCGTGAAAGGTGTTGAGAGAAATTTCGATGGCTTGGCAACACAGGCTTGACGTGGAAAGGCTCAGCGAATCCATTGTTTCGCATGTGTGTTTCTCTTTTTTGGTTCTGCTCAGTTTGACAAATTGAGCGCTGCAACAGAAACCATAAACCATAAACTTTGCTCACCTACCAGGCGGGGCATCGGGAATTCGTGAAACGGAAACGGTTTGTTGGGGGGGATTTGAACCACTGGTAATCCGCCTGGGAGCACCTGACATCCCAGCCACCGAGTGGAGGGATGGCCAACTTGGTCCGTAGCTTCGGCTATACCAACTCTAGGCCGCAGGAGCTATCCCTTCCATTTGCTGAAATGTTTTTGGTTATTTTCCCCCCCTGTGGTTTTAAAGGGAATCTATCACTACTGGATCCTTGTTTCCAGTGGGCTTCAGGTTCTATCCACCCTGAGCCACCTTGACCAGCTGGCCTGTCCCTGCCGCCTGAGGACCTGAATGCGCACTACGCGCCCTACGCGCTCTGCACGCCCAGCGCGTGTTGCGACCCCGAGCCCAGCGCTCGAGTGGAGCCCAAGACGGTGACCGCATTGTTGGAGGCTGGTTTGAGAACTGGACGTGGGTCAAAAATGGAACGGGTAACCCCAAAATGGCTTGGTCTGAAGGGAAACACAGGATTGAAACCTGTAGTCCATATCCTGGTGCCCAATTCATCCTCCCTCCCACTAGCATAGTACATGTTGGAGGGCGTCTGAAAGATCATATTTCTCTCGCAGAACCCCCCTGCCAGGTGCCATGTTAGTAGGAGAGAGGGTAGTTCCAATGGTTTGGGGAGGTGTGCTGAAAACTGGAATGAGGTGAGTCTTCTGCCAAAGTTGGGTTGGTTTTCATTCTTGTTCCCATGGGTTTCTGTGAACATGTGCAAGCCACGTGCCGGTGAACACGCCCGTTCTTGCCGACAAAAAGGATACCTTTTGCACCTGGGTAGCTCGAGCCTCTAAGAGATGCTTGCCACCGACTGAGAATTGGTAATCGGTTTCCCTGGGGTAGAATTCGGATACATTTTGCAAATTTTACCAGTGACTCAAAGTGAAGCAAACAAAACGATATGGCAGTGGCTCAAAATTAAAGAGCTAGGGTTACGCAGGTGTTGGTCCATTTTTCCACTTACCAGGGTTCCATTTTGGTGCCGGTTTTTTGAGGCATACCCATATACATTCTATAACTGGTTGCCTAACTCTAATCCTGTCCCCTTTGTTTTAATTGGGACCCATGTTGTAAGCCTGGTGACGGTCGATTCAGGCAAGCTTGGGAACTCCTTGACTGAAACTGCCATATTCAACTGTTTGCCGTGTTTGTAGTGACATGCATTTTTATGAGACATGTTTGGTGTTTAAAGGCTAGGTCCCCCAGCTAGGTGCCCTTTTATCGTTTCTTTTTTTGGGGACGGTTCCCCTACTAAAATAGACTACAGACAAAAAGGTTCCCTTATTCTAACCTGTCTACTGGAGGGCCTATATAGCCTGGAAAATGAGCACTTTTTGGGGATCCAAACCCAGACCCGGCGTGCCCCGTCTGATGTGTTCATGTTGTTGGCGGATTCCGCCGCATATTGGACACGTCTTTGGAGCGCCCTGGTCGCAGGCGGGGTTTCGCAGCGCCTACGGCTTCGGCGAAGCCGTCGCGAGCTTCCCGTCCTTCACAGCGTGGTCCGGGTGGCTGGACCGGGATGTGAAGGCGGATCTGGACTACATATTGCTCAGGCAAGGATTCATAGACGTCAAATCAATCCAATCCCATCTGACTCAAATCCAATCCGCCAATCATGTCATAGAGGAAATATAACTTTTCCTAGGACCCCCCCAAACACCTCCAAAATGGTCCAATTCTATTCGTTTGTCCCAAGAAAACCTGTTTGGGACGGGGGGGCTGCCTTCCGTGGGGTTGTGAAGGATTCAACAAACTGACCCCCTCGCAAAAATTAGTGATCCATTACGTCAGGGTTGGGGTGTATGTTGGGTATTGAGTATTGCAGACAAAATGCCCGCTGACTTGCCCAAGCCCAACGTTTTTAAAGATTCGTTGAAAGTTTTGTTGGCTTTGTCTTCGTTGTTGGCCGGGCATCGAAAATAATAAGGGGGTTCGACTCTCGACTCGGTTGGACCCTCAGGGGGCCCGTGGTTCCGCTGGCTTTCTTGGAGGGTCCCGAGGAAGCTGCCGTGCACCCTGGCCGCCGGGTTGGAGGTTCAACGTCAGGGAAGTAAGCTACAGCTGTGGTCTCTGTGATCCCGGGCTTCTGAAAATATCCAGTGGTAGAACCTTGTAAGGGGTAGAAGCTCTGGGCCACTTTCTGTGATGCTAAGGTTACTAAGGACGACCCCCCTCAAATTGATAAGGTAGTCATGGGAATGACCCATGACGGACAGAATGTTCCACAAGCTTGGGGACTAAGCTGGTTTTGAACAAAGTAAACTCCACGACCCCTTCTCAACTATTACGCCGCTACCAGGAATTACTTTTGAACCTTAATGACTGTTTCCCAGAACTGAGGTTGCAATGGCCTGAGCTGCTTCCGAATCGGTGTTGGCCTTCGGATCACATACACTTGCTGGCAGACCTGGAGCTACTCTGAGCGTTTCAGCCGCGGCGTGTTCAAGCAAAGTTTGCGCCGCGCGTGGGCTGGAAGTGCTTGTTGTGCTTGAAGCATGTTCATGCTGATCAGCGGAGTCACGTGCCTTGTTGGGTGCGGCGCTGCTGCGTATCTGGAAGCTTGCAGAGATTCTTTGGCTGCCATGGACTGGCGTGAGATTGGGAGCTTGACGTGTGCTGGCGTGTGGACAAACGCTGGATCTGGCGAGTGGTTCGGCGCTGGCCTTGAACGTGTTGCTAGCGAGGTGTTCAATCTAGCGTGGGCCAATGGTTGCAGGGGCAGTGGGAGCTGCCGGTCATGTTTGGTGCTGGTGCTGATGAGTCAACCAGGGCTTGCTCCAGTCATGGCCGACGGAGCTAGGGCGTCTGTGGCAACATTGGACTCTGGGCACGGAGCTGTGCAGGCCGTGGACGGTGTTGCCTCCAGTTTTTGGGCTAAGCTGGGACTCCCGGCAAGGTACATCAGCATGCAGTGTTTGCACACCCACATATGTATACATATGTATATACATATACATGTATATACATATGTTTTTATATACACATCATATATGTATGCCTATCTGCGGCTGGCAACGCATGCTCGAGATCGACATGGACCAGAACATTTTCTTCGCTGCCTGCGATACAAACCAAACTTTGGGCGAATGGAGCTCGAGGCGACCCGCTTGCGGACCTGACGTCGCCATGCGCCTTCCTGCAGGTGAGCTCTGGAAGTCGCGGGATGGATGTGTGGTCAACAGATTTGGGCGCAACGCTTATGGGGTGAAGCTCATGCCGAAAACCTCACCCAAGGCTTGTTGGGCCGCGAGATGTACGGTTTGGGTGCCTTCGAAGGTCGAGCACTGGCGGTGCAAGCTTCGGAGTCCTGAGCTGCCACCTGCGCAGCTAAGAGTGGGGAAGCTCGTGGCAAATACTTCGCAGTTGCCGTGGGGTCCTACGACGCTGGCGCTGGCGCTACCTTGCGGTCCGAGCTGCGCCCTAAGTGTGCCGACGCTGCTTTGTCAGCTGCAGTAGTGGAGCTGGCGGAAGCCTTGCCTGCGATTCCCTGATGCAGCTCAGGACGTGCTGCGTCTCTGCCATCCGGCTGCTTCGACTGACCGGGCGCAATGCGGAAGAAATGCAGCTTTCGACTTTCTGGCGGAAAAAGGGCGGAGAGAAAGGCGTGCGACCTCAAAGCAGGTAGGTGTCACTTTGGTCAGTTTGGCAATGAACATAGAATCTGATGGATCCAAGCTGGTTACAGTTGAGTTCTTTCAATGTTTAAGAATTAGGACACCCAGGGGTCGAAAGGTAGAAGAGCGCATCTTGGCTCAGTCCACTCCCGTAGCAAGCCTCCCACTTGCTTGCGGTTGGCGGAAAGGGTCATTAATCCATCTACAGGGAATATCGGCAACTCTGGTGAGGGTTCCTGTTTTTGGGGGGGAAGCATGGACATGGCGCACATGATTCACTTGTTGAAGGACCACATCATTGCGGTAATACGATTGTTTGCGTTTAGACCAACAAAACAGATGGTGCAAACATCGTTGGATGTAAGTGAAGTGGTTGGGAACAGGCTAGGTTTCTCGTAGTCGAACAGAAGCCGGGGCGAAAAGCAACTGGGAGCTGCAAGGCGGTCCCATTTCGTTTTCTTTTGGCCGTAGCAAGTTAGCCTACGGGCAGGTAGCGTGATGCACGGTTTGCCTTTGGTGGGATCCTGTTCTCGGAAAAAGGAGGCGGTCTCCTAGAAGAGTAGAAAATAGGAGCTTTGAGTGAGCCCACCAAAGATCCCTGAAAAGCGACAAGACCAAGCCTGGTGTGCTGGTAGCTGCCACTGTCCAGTGAAGGGTCGCTTGATGTTTGACGATTCCGTGGTTCCTTTTGCCTCAATATGTCTGGCTCCATTGTTCATGTTAACGCAGTACAACCACACCTGTGACCAAACCAAAACTTGGCCTTTGCCTTGTGAAAGCGAGGAATGCTGCAAGTTACCTTCCAGAAAGCGTGTCTCATTTTCCTCAGGGTCCGGCTCAAGAAAGAAGACCAGTGTTGACACGGCCATGTGTGGGTGTGTCCTTTGTTGTTTGTAGCTAGGAGACGATCCAAGACATACCCTCCCACCAATTTCCATGGAACCTGACGTTCGGGGGTCCTGGAAGACCATTTTTCTTAAAAGGGACCCCCGAACGCCAAGTTCCATGTCAATTGGTGGGCGGGTATTGTTTTCTTGTGGTTTCCCTTTAAGCCCAAGCATCCACTGTTGCATGCGCCATGTCGCCCCATCCCATCGCCAGGCTGCTCAAGCTCGACCGACCGTTTCAGTCGACCAAAAAGGCGGCCGGATTCTATCTTAGCTCACTTGGGGTAGCAACTAGCTCGCCATGGCCCACTACTTAAGGGCTGCCTGAATTTCGGATAAACAATGCAGGTCTATGCCTTTCCCCTGTTGCGGTTTTTTGAAGCCTGAGAGCATCAATTGAAGGAAGGACCCTGCAGCCTTCGACGGTGTTGCCCTTTGACCCTCTTCGGGCAGCGCCAAGGGGTGCCAGGGCTCCCCGTTTCTTTCTTCTTCTTTTTTCTGAAGGTCCAAAAGTCCCAAGGATCCCGTCGCTCCAGCGGGTTTCATGGAATGAAGAAATTGCCCCTGCCGCAGGGTTTTGGCTAGTACGCGTACTAGCGGATCGCGCCAGATGGAGCGCCAATTGGCCGAGTGGCCACGAAGAATACCCACGATCGCCCCTCAACGTATATGCTCAGCCAATCCCACCGCAACACCCGGGTAATGTTGGGAAACGGAGGGCTAGGTGTCCAACTTACATGTAGTCGTCCTCCGGCCAGAGGCGAGCCCTTCACTGATTCACGCCTGAAAAAACACGGGAAAACCAACCACCGTCGGAGGAAAAGCCACAGAGAGGCCAAAAAATGAGCTGCACGCCAGCCACGAGGGAGGGAGGCCGGCGCCGGCCACATTTCCCGTCGAGCCGTAGATGAGCCAGGGCCCTGAAGGCCGGTCTTTCGAGCCGAAGTGTGTCGAGCCAGAGCCGGTGTTGGCTTTCCTCTTGGTTTCACTTCTCCCTTCTTTCTTCTTGAAAAGGGGAGGAAGCCTCTTTGATCAAGCCCTTCTTTGTGGTTTGGGTTGGGCGCTTTCTGGTTTCGGGATTTGAGCCTCTGGATCTCGAGGGTAAATGAGAACCCACCCAGAACCTCCGAACCGCCGGGCTCCAAACCACCAATTAGGGGAAACCCCTTCCAAGTCATAGACCCAAAGGAGGTGCACCTTTTTAGCCCACAGCCACTGGTGAAGGTGAGTGAGGTGAACAAGAGAGGAATCTGGAGAAGGCAAAAGTGTTTTCTGGGCTTTCCTTTCGATTTTCTGTTTGACTTTGTGTCCCTTGAAAGGTAGCAGGTTTCAACGCATGCACCCGCTCGGGAACTGGCAGGCCCTCGGACAGGGGTTCCATAGGCCTGTGCCACAGGTCCCACGGCAGGGGCTACAGCAGAAGCCGCAGCCTTGCGCTTCTTTGCATACGCGCCTCTTCCAAAGCATCGCGGGCTCAATGCGTCGGACATTCCTTACGGCACCGCGAGCTACGCAAGCCACGTGGTTCAGCAGCAGACTTTGTGCTGCGTTTGATCTCTTTCAGGCAGCGTGTGGCGTGTGACTCGCCTGACGTGCCCTGTTCCATGCGAACTTGAAGCACGCGCTGATTTCCCGCAACTTTCGGTTTTATGCCTGTGCCGCGCGGGGTTAGGGTGCCTGCCCCTGCTGCACTTCCACCCGCCGATGCCTTCGTAGGCCCTGTGACAGGTCCACCCACGTCCGCAGGGTCTACCACAAGCCTGCCCACCTTTCTAGCTGCTGAGGGGCAGGGGCTACCACAACGTCCGCAGGGGCCACACCACCTGTCACACCTGCCACCAACCCACCTTAGGGGGCTTTGTGACAGGCACATCGACCTCGTTTGCGCGAGGTGATGGGACTCCACGCACGCCACGCCGGCAGGCAGGACTCAGCTGTTCTTGGTCGTGCTTTATTTGGTGCAACAGGATGGCGCTGGAGGGTTCAACCAGCTTAGTCAGTAGCTTGCAACGCCCCCTTATAGCCAGGTCTACGCGCACCTTTCCAAGTAGCTTGAACACCCAAGTAAGTTGTCTTCCAAATCTCTTCGCTCAATCTTTCACTCAGCCTCTTTTGAATCATTTGGAGCCCCCCCATTCATCATCAGAAGCTGAACACAGTCCATCCCCAGCTGAGTGTGTGTTTTTAGAGTTCAATATATTTGTGTAGTTCACACAAGGGTTCCTGTACTCACATACACACACATAACCATCCGAGAGTCCTCTTGGTACGGAGATGTTTGAGCGATTTATAGGGAGCCCTATCAAGATCAGAGATGCAAATGAAGGAAACGGGGCCTCGGGTTTCCCGGTCTTGCCTTTTGGTTTTCAGTTGACATGTTAGTTTCCCTTTTGGGGGGTCAAAGTTCACATTGACGGGGTTGTAATGTGTATTCCTGGTCCTTTCACATGTAGCAAGCGTAATTCGGTTAGCCCAGATTGGTGGTGTGGGGAGTTGGACCGGCTCTTGTTGGGGAAATGGGAAGCCACCCCAACAAACCTGACCTCCAAACTACCAACCCACCTATTAGAGCTAAAACCTGCGGTTTTCCCCTCTGGGATTAGTTTGAGGTGTTCTCCCGCGTTCCACCGTTGGGGGGCGTTTGTTTGTGTTTCTCTCCGTGCCGTATTTTCCTGTTTGGTATTGCATTGTTTGCATACGTCAAACACCCTGATTTATTTGCTCACGCGGACGCATGTGTACGCATGTGAAAAGGTATGGCATGCATGCATGCATGCACACAGACACACAGACAAGACCGACAGACAGAGAGACAGACAGAGACAGACAGATGGAGACAGACAGACAGACAGACAGCGACAGCGACAGCGACAGCGACAGCGACAGAGACAGAGACAGAGACAGAGACAGAGACAGAGACAGACAGACAGAGACAGACAGAGACAGACAGAGACAGACAAGCAGACAGACAGACAGAGACAGACAAGCAGACAGACGGACAGACAGAGACGGACAGACAGAGACAGGCGGAGACAGACCGCGACATGCGGAGATAGACAGACATACGCTGACATAGATTTGAATGCACACATACCTGGAACCCTTCCTCCCAAGTAAAAGGCAGTTTTTCCGCTTCTCTTCAAAATGCCCGCCTTTGCCGGTGGCAAAATTGCCTCTCTTGGAAAGTGGGGCACGGGAGCGCTTTGTGGGCGGGTGAATGCCACGGCATAACTGTAGAAACTGGTTTGCGTTGCTACCGCGAACATTTTTGCACTGAAAAGGGAAACGCGAGCTGTCTGAGATTGGGCGGAGCTTTGCACTTCTTATGCAGGCGATTTCTCCCGATCTTCCAAAGCTCACTTGCTCACGCGCTTGCATCAGCATAACCTGCAACCTTGGTGTCAAACCAATCAGACGGTTGCTGACTGCCCGCTCCTGAAGAGCTTTCTGGAAGAACAAATGCCTGCGGTTGGGTGTTTTTGATCGGGACTGTTCATTAGCTCTTCGGGATGCGGGCTAACAACTCAAATGAAACATAATACCCCCCCGCCCCCGGCGCAAAATACACAAGCTCGGACCTTATTGCTGAAACAGCGACGCAACAGAGCATTGGTGAAGAGCCGCTTGTTTAGCCAGTACACAGCAAAATGCGCATGAAAAGACTTCCTGGTGACTAGCGTGATGGTGAACATGCTTGTGTCAGAGGGTTTGCAGATTCAGCTGCGAGCGGCTTTGTATTTTCTTTGTCACCCGATTTTCCCTCACTATAGGCGCATTCAAAGCAAAATTAAGCAAAGGTTTAACCAAACCTAAGCCAGCAGAGCGCATTGACTTGTTGTCTCTTCGCTGCGGAGGTGAACACGGCTTACTCTTGTTTCAGGCAATCACCTTTCGGATTCTGGATTGTCTGTCTGGGTTGATTCCAGCAGTACCGCCATGAAGACCAATGCCCCAGGGGAAAACGTGCCCTCGCACCCAACACATGTGCTGCATGACAGCGCAAGCCACAATCTGCAGCTTGCTCCCTGAGTCACTGGACAACATCGCGTTCCTGCCACCAGAGCTGCCTGCAACATGGCCAGCACCGCTTCCATTATAACTGTTTGCCCAGCGCCTATAGCATCTTGGCGTGCCACCGGCCTTTCTTCTCAAGGCCTTGCTTTTACTTACCTAGGGATTGCCACACGGTACTCCCCGCTCGCCGGCCATTCCTCTCGATTTCATGGACCTCTCGCAGGCAGTGAGACAGGGCCTGCCGCGCAACTAGGTGCACTCCGAAAGCCACCGATCCAAACCACCAGTTGGAGGGAAGCTCCGAATGGTGGACGTTGGGTAATCCCTACACGGCTTTGCTGGTAAATGGAAGCAAGGACTAAGACCTGCGATCCATATCCTGGTGGTTTAATTTTGACCCATACCCAGCTCCTATGGCGGTTTTTGTTGAAACTGCAGGGCAATGGCTTGGACACCTCCCAAATGTCTGTCCTTTTCTTTTTTGTTTGAGGTTCGCAAATGGCTTGGACACCTCAAAACAATATGTCCTTTTCTCGTTTTTTTTGGAGGTTCCGAAAAGGGCCATGGCTGGGAAACCCACGCAGCTTTCCTCTTTTTGGAGGCTTGGCGCAGCGCCAGCCCCGAGCGCACGCCCACGCCCGGGCGCAGCCCGGAGACGGAGAATTCGGCGTCCGGTTTGGGGGTGGCTCAGCTGGCGCAAGAGGCGCAAGGGCCGTGAGGGACGGGCTGCCTGTGGGTACCACAGTTTTTCATTCACTCCTTCAGGAGTTACTGGACGGTTTTTGTGGGGCTCCCTGAGTTACTGGACGTTTTTTTTAGGTTTGGACCATGTTAGTGGCAAACAAAAATGTGTGACTCGTTTCGGCCCACTCAGGAAGTGAATAAGTGGGGCAATTGCGGGTGGGTACCTTACCATGTTTATAACTTATAACAAACTTATATGCTTTGGACATCCATAGGGTCCAAGCCCCCAGGCACAGAACTGGTACCAGTTTCAAAAGGGGTAAGGCCTATGAACCTGTGCCAGTGTGTTGGAAGTTTTGGGCTCTGCTCGTGTTAGTGTTTTCTTGAGACTCGCTAGCCTCTTTAGTAGGGTCGGTTTTTACCGGGAAACCAACAGGTGTTGAGTTCATGAAGCATTGCCAGACTGAAGTGGTCTTTTTGCCCTTTGCACTTTTGTGCTTCCTTCGTTCTCCGTTTTTTACCAGCCGGAAGTTGAATATCTTGTGCCGGAGGTCTAAGTCCGGCCAGGTAAGGCAATCCTTTTTGGGGGTCCTCCAGAAACAAGAAAAAGACAGCCTGTGGGGGGGGGTTGCCTTTGAACTCTAAACTACTGCCTAGAGGATAGTGTTCATGTCGCTTTCGTGGACCCAATGTTGCTTCTACTCAGCTGAACCTGAAGCACCAAATCAGTTCCATATTCGTCCATGCTGAGAGGAATCTGAGGGACTCTTGTTGGGGTTTCAGGGGATGGGCGTTCTCAAAGGGGTTCCATAGCTTAGCTCATATTTGGTCGCCCACCCCAAAAAGGTCCATTTCGGGAGTCAGGAGGTTGGCTCCTTTTGGCTTCCAAAGACTTGCTGGTGCTCAGGCAATCACCTTCCGGATTTCGGGAATGAAGCTGGGGATCCTCGAAATAAAGGCATTGCTTCCTAAGGCATGGCTTTTTTTTCTCCGGGGTGGTTCCATGTCTCCTTCCCTTGTCAAAGGCCAGCGAGAGCCCGGGAAACCCGCCCGGGGAACCCACCCGACGGGTCCTTCCGAAGACGGGGAGGCGGAGGAGCGCTCCCAGCGCCGCGCCGCGGCGCTCCGCGGGGTCCTGGAGAGCATCAGGCGGGCAGAAGCAGAAGCAGCGACCGCAACCAGGGGGGTAAGCCGCGGGGGAAGATTTGATGGCCGTGTCGTCGTTTTTCTTTTTTGTTTTTTGTTTTTTTTGTTTTTTTCGTTTATTTGTTTAGACACAAATACGTATATTTCCAGTAGTGGTAGAGTTCCTTCAACACCAAGAGGGGAAAATAAAGTGCGTCTTTTTTGGAGTTGGTACCTGTTTTGTTTGTGGTTTTAAAGGGAAGCAGTTTGGGTCCCCTAAACGAAACCACACACCCAATGTTTACCTCGGGTTTGTTTTTCCCAAGAAACACTGCTAGTCAGAGGAACCTCCTAAAATAGTGAATGTCCTTTCTAGTCCTTTCTACAAGGGGCATTTCCATAAGTGTCCGTTTTAAGCCAGCTTGGTTTACAAACTGTCATCTACGGAAGTTAAGGGGATGGCATGGGGCACACTCATCAACCATTGGGAAGTGGGGGTTGCTCAGCGAGTCAGGGGCTTTGCTCTGTACATGTGGTGGCGATTCGGGGCAAAAAAAACGCGATCAGTCCTGTGCAGTTTTCCGCAATGTCAGGGTCAATGTAATTTCTTTGACTTACGGTGGTAACTCAGAATTGGGGCTTACTTAGGTTACTCACCGAAATCCATGAGAACCGGCATTGGGCGTCTCTTTGGGTTTTTAGAACTTCCCGGGGCCAAGTGTCGACCTCACGTCCCAAACTGGAAGCTTCCCCGAGACGGCAGAGACATGGCTGTGGGTTAAAGAATAATTCGGGCAATCCCTACACGGCTTCCCCGGTAAATGGAAGGAATGCCTAAATTCCCGCGGCCCATATCCCGGTGGTGTAATTTTGACCCATACCCAGCTCCTGTGGTGGTTTCCATTGAATCTGCAGGGCAATGGCTGGGACACCTCGAAGAAGAAAAAAAAACGGCGCCAGGGTCCAGGGCGCCCCAGCGGTGCCGCTGCTGCCAGGAAGGCGGCGGCTCTGGAAGCCGCATGGGTGAGAAGTGACGAGGCAAACGCAAAGCTCCGGAGGTTTCGGTTTGTTTTTGGTAGATGGTTTTAAGAACAAGCACAGTTTAAGATGTGTTGTTTTGGTAGATGAGGCAAACCTCTGGATTTGAATTTGTTGGGAAGATGGTTTCAAAAAGACAAACAGAAGTTTAAGATGGAAAGGGGGCCCATCCACTCAAGAAGTCTGGGTGTTTGTTCTTGTTGTTGTTGCCTTGTTTAGTGGGGACGCCGTAGACAAATTAGATGCGGATGGTTCATTTTAGCTTTTCTGGTCTTAGGATGCGTGTCGGAGATTCATGGCTGGTCATCGGGGTCCTCACAGCCGATAGGATCTCTTGGAAACGAGATTGAGCCCATTTTGGGGATTTCCCCCTTGACTGTCTGACTTGGTTTTGCTCAGCACGTTGCCATTCCAACCGGGGCCCAACCCAATTGGAAATGGCTACAGAAGCTCAGCTGATTTTGCAAAATTGGAAGGACACGTGGCTTCCGGTTTTCCTTTTGGCTTCCCCTTGAACTCATCGATAAAGTGGGAGCCCCTATTTTGAGAAGCACCAATGTCGTTGCCAATTTTGGGCTACTCGTTTTGCCCTGTAGCGGGTTTCAGTCATTTGGGGAGGGGAGCACGGGGTCGTAGGATTTTCAGTCATCCACATCTAAAAGTGGTTGGCTTGCTCTGAGTTTGATCTTGGTTGCTGGTTGAGCACCAACCACAGAGGTGTTTATCATATTGACGCCTCCTCAAAAGTTGCATGTGGTGCGGGTCGAAGGAACACTATTTGGGGTGATCAATATTCCTGCCCCCCCCCCCATATGACCATGGGTAACTTCTTTTGTGGTGAACGTTGGTGATTTCCCAACGGTCATCCCATGTAAAGGACTTCAAGTCCCATTTGTCAACTCAAGGTCGCCCACGCCGGCGAACTCAGAACAACTTTGCGTGTTGAGCTATGTTTCTCTTGCGGCCACCATGAGAAACCCGGCAAAGGAAGCTTGTTGATTAATTAATGCTGCTTTTTTACGCCCTTCTTGCTTGGGTTTGAGTAGACTGTTTTAGTACCAGCCGATGGCTTTCCAGCTTCGATTTTACCTTGCAACCCAAAAGGCTGTCTTGAGGTGGGGTAGTGGCAAAAAAAAGTCTAGACTATCCTGACTTATCTCAGAGGGTGGGTATTGAATTTGATCCAAAAGGGTTTCTCATTTTGTCAAATGTCCTGCTTTCCTGTGAATAGCAGCATTTGTTTGCTCCTTTGGTTTCTTGGTTTATCCAAGCGGCCCAAGGCAGTTCGTGAATGGCAAGCAGTTTCTGCCATCCCATTTTTGGATTAACCCCAAGGTAAACTTAAACCATGGTTGGGTCATTCCCCCAAAAAAGGGGAACCCCTGCGTTTAAGACTCAAGCTCCCGAGCAACCGTCCAAAGAGCATCCCATTCCGAGGTGGAGATGGGAAAAGAGCAGCCCTTGCAGGATGCTGGTTGGGGTCGTAAACATAGGTGCCCTTTTTGGTTGGTTTGGTAAGAACAAGTTGTTTTGTTTTGGTTGTTTTTGGGTCGTTTTGCTGTTGTTTTTGGTTGTTTTCGTAAACATAGGTTTTTGATTGTTTTGATGGCCCTGGTTTACCTGGTGGTTTAATCAACTACCAGGGCCATCTATTGACCCTAAAAGGACACGTGGTCGTAAACCGATACCCCGGTCACTTCAGTTCGGCGCTCTTTGTTGCGACACGCAGGGCGGTCGGTGCGAGCGAGGCGCGCGGTCCCAGCAGTTGTGCGTCGGGGCGCGGGGGGTGGGGGTGGACCCGTGATGTCGGCAAGGTGGATTTGAACGGAATATGACTATAGGTCAACCCAATCAATATTGACCGGGGGTTGATGAATCCTAGGTTCCAATGAATCCCCAGCAAAAGAAGCAAAGCCCCAAACGGGCGTCAATTGCCATTTCCCAACAGGGGGTTGATCCACGGGAAGGGGTGGGGTAGGACTGGGGGCAGCTCTTCTGGCACATCGGTTCGCAGCTCTAAGAAAGAAGACAGTGGATTGGAGATATGGGGATTTGAACCCCTGGTTCTTGTAGAGGGTTAGTGGGCAACGACCCCGTAAGCACCAAACCACCGTTGAAGGCAAGCCAAATGAAGCCAATGTCGAAAAAGAATTCCGCGAGGCAGAAGCTCGACGGTAAAGAGGACGCCTTTTTTTTTTCTTTTTCGGTCCCTAGGAATGTGCAGACAAAACAACCCCCTACCTGCAAAAGCCGACAAATTGTGGCATCGAAGGTGACCTCCCTGAGCGGCGACAGCCCTTCCGGCGGAGGTGGGAGCCCACCCGGCCGAAGCCGACTTCGGCGACCGCGAGGCTTCCTTCCTTTCAACCGGATAAATGGTGACCGGCACTTCAGTTTCCCCAAAGGGCGGCTTGTTTCGGTGGTTTCCGTCACTTGAAGTCGGTTTCCGGACTTGGAACTTTTTGAGGAAGATCACAAAGTCAGATACATTTTATATGTGCTTGGTGACCTTTACACTGTACAATTGTAAAACAGGGCCTGCTCCAATCACGTTACCACTACACATGGTAAGCCATTTTCCTGCTCCTTCTCCGCTTCAAGATTCTGTCAAGCCTGGCTGTTCAACACGTTCTGTGTCCCTTTTGAGGTGATGGGGATTGGCCCACACTTGTATCGAGAAAGGGCGACTTTCCACATCCATATCGCAAAGTGCTAGGGTGCATACCGGCCAGTCGTCTTCCAAGATTTGTGTGGAGTGTGTGTGCGTGTCTGCTTGTTTATGTTTTTTTTTTTGTTTGCTTGCTTGCTTGCTTGGTTGGCAGTTGGTTGGTTGGTTGTGTGTTTGTTTGTTTGTTTGTCTGTCCGTCCGTCCGTCCGTCTGTCTGCCTGCCTGCCTGTCTGTCTGTCTGTCTGTCTGTCTGTCTGTCTGTCTGTCTGTCTGTCTGTCTGTCTGTTTGTGTGTCTCTGTGTGTGTGTGTTTGCTTGCTTGTGTGTTTGTTTTGATTTATTGATATAGGTAGTTGTCTCTTCATTTCTTTGGTTATCTCTTTCTTTGTTTGATGTTTCCTTTCTTTAACTGTTTCTTTCTTTGTGAGTTTAAATTAATTCTTTCGTTATTTGTGTGTTTGATTATTTGCTTCTTTGTTTCTTTGTTTCTTTGTGTTGTTGAATCCCTTTCCGGGTTGAAAGGGGCACCTCATGAAATCCAGCATTTAGGGTCTCGATCCTCCCTATTTGGACACGTACCCACATGAGTTTGTGCACGAAATGTTGGTCGTAGGGTACAAAGGGGGCACCGAAATAGGAGACCAACCCAAGACAACATATTTGCTTGAGTCCTATCTTCACCGTTCCTCTCTAGCGGAAAACAACTAGCAACTCTTGTGTTTACTTGTGTTGTCAGTTTTCGGAAACAACTAGAAACTTGCTAGTTATGGGTGGTTGTTCGTTGTGGTTTGCTTGAAACCTCTCTCTCTCTATCTGCTTTGATGGGGGATTCGAGCGGCAAAATCTTCCAGCTTTGCGATTGCAGGTTCTCAACAGTACACGTTTTTGTGTGTTTCCAATTTGTTAAACTAAAGGAAATCAACAGGAATGAATAATTGTTTGATTTTTCCTTTTCCAGAGCACCCAGTTTGGAAAGCTTGATTGGCAAGCTGCTGTTGGCCCCTAAAAGCCCCAAAGCCGCTCGTGATTAGGGATCTCAGGTTAAACGGGAAGTCCTTCCTTTTAGAGGAACCCCTTTGGTTGATCCTCCATCCAGTGCAGTCGCTGGTCCTCGGGCTCGAATCGAATGGACTTTGGGCAGCTCACAGCTCACCAAAATTCAATTGGGCGTGTCTTTTTTAGGGGACCCCCTCAAAATGGTCAAAAGCCATCCAAAAATGGGGTCTTCTCAAAAAAGACACCAAATTAGCCCTCAAACCCCAGTGGAGTGCCCAAAACCAAACGGGCTTTGGGCCGTTGCAAGGGGGTTCTCTGTGGGCATTGCCAGCCCGAATAGGTTCGGTTCGGGACGCGACGATTTCAGCCAAGTCCACCCAACCTTACTATGTCCCCCAGCTAGGTGCCCTCTTTCTTACCGTTTCTTTTTTTGGTTGGGAGGGTTCCCCTACTAAAATAGACTACAGAAAAAAGTTGGTATCCTTATTCTAACCTCTCTACTGGAGGACCTAGCTTAGTCGCGGGACTTTGCGGAGGCTTCAGCCGAGCTGAGGCTATGGAGGAGGCTCGAGTGTTTTTTTTGCGCCCCCCAGGTCCTTGTTGGTCCCGATGTCTTCTCATTTGAAAGAACTCAAGCAAAGAAACAAGGCTACCTGTAAAAATAGTTCAGAAAAGCTAAACCGCCTCGCAGAAGTGCTGTTTGAAGAGTTTCCGCTGAATGAATCAAATCATAGACTGGTCGCGACTTGTTTCGAAGCTCCCGTGACCATGTGACCATATGCCTGTTTGATGTTGTTTCCCTCCCACATGTAGGCGCAAGTGAAAGGGGGCCATACATTTTGTCTGACTCTTATCCGCAAAGTTCAGCAAACGATCGGACGCCTAACACAGGCCTTTGCGCAAAGGTGCACAGTGAAAGGATGCTCACCGGCACATGTTGCCTTGGCCTTCGTTTGCCAGCATCAGTGGGGCATGAACATCGACACAGTATATACACGGAACGTGGATATTTCACCAATTTGGCCGGTTCTTCAGGAGAAGGGGTTCTACCACCGACTAGTTCTTCGTACCTACGACTCAAAAAAAGGTACCCAAAACTAAGTGTATCAACTCTACCCTAATATGTTATCAATTGTTACCATACTATATCAATATTATTAGTATTCATATCGTCGTGAATACACCCCCGCGTTGCTTGTTCAGAGGCACCCGATTCCTCCTTCCCTTTTTGTGAGGGAATTGCTGCAGAAGGGGGAGTTGTAAGCCAACTAATCAAAGGCCACTTCCCCTTTGCAAGGTCCCCTGTTTCCGTGCCATGTGATACTTTTATAGGCTGCAAGCAGTCCCAAGCTACCCAAATGATACAGTTGAGCGCCTGCCGTTTCAAGGAAGGCAACAGGAGGTATGGGAAATTGCTACTAAGATTATCGGGGCTGTGTTCTGCCTCCAGCTTCAACATTGTTCCTTGAGCTGTGTCTTCGGTGTTGCCCATTCTTTATACATCAACTTATTCGAGAGGCGCCAGTCGGTTGGCAACCCCGAAGGATGCCCTTTGCCCAACTGTGATCAAGCATAAAGGGTACCTGTGTAGACGGCGCTCATTGGAAAGAGCAGGAACACAGTAAGCAAGCTGAGCAAAACATGCGGTATATTTTTCCTCCCCAGATTGATGTCTGGGATCGCTGCTGAATTTTGTTGCGGTTTGGGCGGCCGAATCCAAAAGTCTGGGCGACAGAATCGCAAGGGACTCCGTCCATCCTGGGCCTTTGGGTATGCCGATTTGGGCAGGAAAGGCCTCGTGCAGTGCCGGCAGCTGCGGAAGGCCTGGGTCTGAGTCCATATGCAGGCGGACTTCGACAGCGCGATCTCCTGTTTTTGTGTCTTCCCTGTTTTTTTTGTAAACGCTTTGAATTGGTAAGCCCTTCCTTTGAATATGGGGGAAGAGTTTCACCCACAGAAGTGCTCCGGATTCCCACTGAAAGGGTACACCCCGGGAAGAATCAACCAGGGCTTTACCAGCAATTAGCACATTGAGGCGCACTAGGCCAGATCAAAGACATGATCTTTTGGGTGGGCAAACTCTGAGGTATTGGAGGTTTAAAAATGGGCAGGGCATGGCTTCTGCAGAATTAAGGAGCTCAATCAAGGGGCCTTACTTGGCCACTTCGTCCAGTGGACCTCCATGGAAATGGGGGGGGGGCTCGGCAATTTTTGAGTTGAAGGGTACCTTGTTCTTGTGGGTTTTACAGGGAAGCCAAAAGGAAAGCCGCCCACATATTATGCTATTTTATGTTTATGTTTGTCTTTTTGGCGGCGGCGGGGGTACTATAATTTGACGTATGCCTGGTTGATTGGGAATGTCCCATGTGAGACAGTTTATGTTGCTTTCAAGGAACAATCGCGCACGCACACACTCACACACACCTAATACTCCGCCCGCCAGCAGTTCATGCAGTTCTGTTCTTTTGCTGGGCCTTGAGATGCAGTTGGACCCAAAGGGTGGCATGCAGTTGCCCAAAATGCACAGACCATTGACCTGTGTTGCATTCCTTCTTCTTTTTAGGTCATTCGCCATAGGTCACCTATAGGTCAGTCTTCTTCTAATTGCCTCGTTTGCTCAAAGGTGGCTTGTTACAATCAACCTTTTGTTTGCCCGTGTTTAGTCACTTGAACACCATCCACGAGCGGATCCTGAATTTTAGTTGGTCCAATAGCTTTGTTCCAGGAGCAAACCTCATGCAACCCAAAAAAGCCCTTCAACGAATGCAGAACATGCAAATGAGAGAGCTGGGCAACATTTGCTTGAACAACCATACTCTTGTTACCTTGAAAGTCAATGAAACGGAATGTTTGAGCCATGCATGTCTAAACATGTTTGAACGAGGGGTTGGACCAACCCTAGCAAATAGCCCTCAGATACGGCCTCCTGCGTACTTTGGGGAGTCCGCAAAGCAAATGTGCAGGGTCTTCTTAAAGAATAAGGTTGCAAGCCAGTTCATCAGCGGACTTTTCTTTTTTCGGGTTCCTTTCTGAAGTGCCCGTTGATTCTTGCTTGGATGTTCGGCCCAGTGAGTCAGTGCGCCACCTTGGTGATCACCCACTAGGCTGAACTCCACTTCGAGGAACCCGTGCCAACAACTTACGAATGAGCCGAACACCCAAGCAATGTAGCCTCTTTACCTTGCTCCCCCCCTTTTTCTCCCGGAACAGTGGAACCAGTCAGCGGGTCTGGGTGGGACTTGGACTTGCTAGTACGTGCTTTAGTTTTGCCAAGACTGAGTTTAGCTTTGCCAAGACTTACTCTCAGATTCTCCGGAACTTACTTTAGTATCGCCAATTCCAATTTGGCTGGGAAGAGCCCTCTTTTTGAGCAACCCCAAAAAAGTTGGGCACTAAAGGGGACCCAAAAACAGTCCCATTGAAGAGGATCAGGGCTTCTTGTGGGCAACCCCCTGTGTGTGATTGTTTGCCCGTACTTTTTTGTAAACAAGTTAGCTGGAATTTGATGGCTTGGGGACCACCTGCACAATTGTTTTCCTAGATCTAAGGCCTTTACCCTTTGAGCTGGCAAGAGCCTGGTTAGGTGAACCATCTCTAAAAAGAAAAAGGCTAAGGCTTTAATTTAGGAATTTCAGTAACCCCAAAAAAGTTGGACACTAAAGAGGACCCCAAAACGGTCACATCAACGAGCTTCTTGTGGGCAACCCCCTGTGTGTGAATGTTTGCCCGTACTCTTTACAAGTTACCTTAAAATTGGTTTGGGAACCGTTTCAAGCAAAGGAATTCCTAATGTCTGCCCGGATTTGTTTGCCCGTTTTTTGCCCGACTTTTTTGGCCAGTTGTTGTTGCCCGGATTGTTTTTGTTTTTTTTTTTCCTGCGGCATCTTTGTGCGGCAAACAAACTTGCCGCAATAGAGAACCCCAAAACAGTCACAGGATCCTGAACTCGGAACAAACTTGCTACAATAGAGGACCCAATTCAAATTGGGGGTCTAACATTAGGCTGCTAATTTTTAAGACAGCTCGAGGCCTGAACTGCAACGCATGGACAGACATTTAGGTCTGCCTTTTAGGAATTGGACCCCAAAATGGCTGGCTTCCTTTTGGTTTCCCTTTAAACTGACACGTTCTTACTTTGGTACCAAAAGTCTGATTTGCCACAATGCCTGTTCCTGGGTACCCTGGTAAGACTTTCGTGGGCTCACGAAAGGCCGATCGGCAGCATGAGAGTGTCTTTGCGTCTTGTTTTGAGGGTGCCTCTGTTTTGGTGGTTTTCCAACTTGTGATGAGAAGTAAGATCAGGCTCACAACTTCCCAAGGCTTTGGGGCTTCTGCCTTGGGCCCAATGCATACCATATTAAATGCTTCTTCCATTAAGTTCCTTTCATCGTAGGTATGCAACTGATTTTGCGGACTTCAGTTCAGCCGGGCGCGAAATGAGCCCGCTGACCTATGCCTCACATCTGACGAAATCGAGTCGCATGTGTACCGGGCATCAAGCTGCCAATGGCATCGTCCAGGATGCCCGCTGTCTATGATGATTCTCAACTCTATGATTACGACCTGGCGTCGCCTGACATCACGAGCTCCCGGCGGTCGCTGCCAAAAGCTATGCAGACGACATCTCTGTAGCTCAGATACCGGCAGCAGGCGATGGCAATGTTGCTTCGCAGCAGTTTTTGGCCCAATCTGCTTTTAGTGGGGTGATATTTAACGGGGACTCCTGTTTCGACTTCCTTGTGGCTAGCCATCCCAAAGGTGAGCCAATCACATGGCTCGGTATCCCTTTTCTTGAGGATCGGCATCCCCATTTTGGAGGTTTTTTTACAGGAACCAACGGAAAACCGCTGCGCCATTTTGGGGGTTCAAGCCTGCCGCTTGCCCTAGGCCCGGAGTTGGCGGACGCCCCGGCGCGGCAAGACCTGCTGCAGGCATTGGGCGGGTTTGTTCCTCCCCCCCCCGAAGAAAGAATAGTAATTAATAATAATAATAATATTTATAGTAATATACACAAAACAATAAATAACAAATAAATAAAATATTAAATAGATATCGTATGGTTTACCTTTGTGGCCTCTAAACCAAGGTGAAAGGGTAGCCTGAAAGAACAGTCTCAAATGAGTTGCTGGTGCTCAGTAGGAAATGAGGGAATAAACTCATGGGTCCCCTGAAAGGAAACCACAAGGGGATGGTTTATAGGGGTTATTCCCTCATTCCCTGCTGAGCACCAGCAAGATGAGTTGGGTATGGGTCAAAATCAAACCACTAGGGAACCGCAGGTTTTAGTCCTTGTTTCCAGTTACCAGATCTGGTTCCATTTTGGGGTCACCCCATTTTTGACCCACAGCCAGTTGAAACAACCATACCCTCCTCACCAAAGATTCCTGTGAAGTCGCCCCAGGCTTTGGAGAGCAGATGCAGCAGCCTAGAGAACGCGTGGCTCGCCCTGAGAACGGGGCAGGCCGAGCATGACTCAGACTTACTTGGGTGTTCGAGCAGGGAAGAACCTACGTCCCCCAGCTAGGTGCCCTTTTACCGTTTTGTTTTTTTGGGGGGTTCCCCTACTAAACTAGACTACAGAAAAAAGGGTGCCCTTATTCTAACCTGTCTACTGGAGGACCCTAGTAACCGATTGCAGCCTACTTACGAAGTTGGTTGAGCATCAAACATCCAAGTAGGGAACGGCACTCGAGCTACTTAGTAAGTTAAGGCATAAGTCTTACCGTACAATGTATAAGTGGGGTTATACCGTATGAGCCCCTTGGATCCAGTTTGCGATGTTCATCTCTTGAAGTCTTGTTTCTGTTTTTTCAACATGTTTTTTTTGGTTACCTACTGCAGAGTTGAGGGCCTGCTGAGGCCTTACCAAGTGGATCCATGAGATAACGCCCCCGAAAGCGGGCTGAACAACTTGCAAGTCTGACTCAGGACTTCCTTGGGCGTGCCGGCGCTCCCCGTAAAACGCCTGATGTGTAGGGAAGAAACATGTGGAGTCCAGAAGGAAAGAAAGGTTGCCGCTGCGGCCCCTTTGTTTTGTTTATTATAAATGTTTCCTATGGTTTTCAAGATCATGCATCCACATTGGACTCGCTGGTCCCAGAGGCCAAACAAGAAAGGCATGCTGATTTGGGCTCAACATCAGGCATGGTCAATGGGCAACATCATAGATCGCGAAAAAAAGACCAGGCCGCTCCAAATCCATGTTTCCCTGTAAGGAGGCCCAATGATGTGCTTCCAAGATATGGGAGGAGGAGAGATTCTTCGCATTTTGAGGAGGGACACAGCTCGGGTTCCCGCACTCCAGCCCCGAGGCTGGAATGCTGCCGGCTGGAAGCACACGAGGCGGGGGTGCGTGGGGGCGGGCGGAGGAGGGAGGCGAGAGTCAGAGAAGGCAACCAGTGACTGGGCCTGCGGCAAGGGAAACCACCATAATACGCCATGTTTGGGGATTCATTGTACTTGGGGTCTTCTGCGAAGATATGCATTCTAAGGCTGACTTATGGACCAGAAGCTGAAGAGCCCAGTTTTAGTGGACGCCAGAGTGTTTAACTAAAAGTTGAGAAAAGCAGCTGACAACATGCTTGACCATCTAGTGTTGGGGAGGGGAAGGCGGGACAACCCAACTTTCTCATGGGCAACCGTGCCTATGTTCGGTCAAAAGACGCGGTATGCTTCATTTGGGCTTCTGAACATGACCCTCCAATTTTCCACCATGGCCCAAGGAGGGAATCGCCGGTTGGAGAGTTGGCATGGCACGTATGAGGTTTCTTCTTTGTGCTTCATTCTCAGTTGCCTCGAGCTTACCTGTTTGTGTGGCTTTCAAGGCAATGTCAAACCACGCCTATCAGTTTCGCAATTCTACCCAGAAATCCTGTGGTGCTCTGCTTTAAACTTCCACCAAATGCTTTTTCTTTACAAGTTTTGCGGTGGGCGTCTTTTCAAAATCTCCTTCAAATTCCACTGGAAACGCCCCATTTTTCCCACTGGACATCCTGAAGGTCTAAGTGGAAAGTTTGGGCTTTGGCCGCTTTCTGCAACTCCTTGAAAAGGCTTTTTGGTAGGTCCCCCAGCGAAAGGGTGCCAACTTGTACCGTTTCTTTTTTGGTTGGGAGGGTTCCCCTACTAAACTAGACTACAGACAAAAGTTGGTACCCTTATTCTAACCTCGCTGCCGGAGGACCTAGTGTTTTTGTTTGGAGGGACCCTCCATAGCCAAAAGAGTATGTCTCAAGGCACGTGAGCCCTGTGTTTCAGCTCGGATATTGCCTCACGGGGAAGCGAGAAGGGGTTCGTGAAGGGGAGGAGAACAGGTCCAAATTAACCACCATATGGACCGCAGGAATTTGAGTCCATGGTTTCCATGTACCAAAAACAAGCCTTTTTGGAGTTATCCTATTTTTGACCAGCCACGTGTAGTCGAGCCGAGTTTCCTCCCACGCAACCGGCGCTTTGGGGCCAAGTCGCTGCATTTCTCCAAGAAAAGTCTTCGTGCTGGCTTGGCTCACAGCACTGGCCAGCCTGAGATGGACTCAAGCCAAAGTGGCCGTGCATGGAAGGGGCCAGAATTCGCTCCCCTTGGTTTGGTGTTTTGCTTTTTTGGGGTCCCCTTTGTTTTCCCACTAACCAGACAAAAAAAAAGAAGCTTTTTATCCCCAAGGTATGGTAAAAGAGGGGAGCAAGCCTCCCCCGACGATGCCCAAACCGACCACATGGAATTCGTCATCCACGGTCCCCGCTCTGGAAGGTGTTTGGGTATATGCGTTTGTGCGACGGGCCATAGCCCTTTGTGAGACGCCCAGAACACAGACGTCTTTTGCGGAGCAAACGAGCTTTTGGGGATGGCCCTGTTGTCATACTCCGACGGGCAAGCTGTCCGTGGGAGAGCTCCCGCACACCCACCGCAGATTCACATGGGCGCCCGAAGCCCGCTGACTTTGGGTTCTACCAAGATGGCCACAAAGGTTGATATAGGCCTCACTATAAAACCGCATGAAGCGGTGGATGTCTAGTCCCATCAGCTTGCAACAAAAAGCCATGACGCACACATTTGAGTGACAACTACATTTTTTTGGAGCTTTGGATTTTTGGTGTTCCAAAACATGACCCAGGGCACATTTCAGCCATGGAGCTCCAATGTTGCGGAGCTTTGGGCGGGCCTTTTTTGTGTTCAAACAACCAGACAGAAGCGCTTGGCGCTTGCGCGCAGGCTCAGGAGGCCTTGAGCCAGTGCCAAGCTGAGCTGGCGTGCCTGGAAGGCGCGAGCGAGCGCGAGCGCGAGCTGCGGCTCGGTTTGGTTTTTTTTGGGGCGCAAGAGTCCGGAAAGAAACCCGGTTGCCCGCTGATGCGACCGGATTTTCCGGTGAGGCAGCTGCATTTCGAAGTTCCTTTTGTGGGGAATCCAGGTGGAATACATTGCACTTGTGAGGTTGGAACGCAACAGACCAATATCGCCAGGACTTCCTGTGCCGTCCGTTCTTTTCTCGGAGAGGGGTCCGCTTTGAACCGAGCAAGAAACGGCGCCCTTTTCCCCTGGCCAGCGGATGCCGGTGAGCAACTTAAGCAACCTCCTGTTGATTTAGAACGCTTTTTGTATGATATTGTCCATTGACATAAACAAATGATAACTGCCTGCAAAAGGTGGCTTGGGCGAAGCTTCCTTTTTCCCCTCACCCGCCCGCGCGCCCGCCCGCCCACCCAACCCACCCACGTGCAACGCATAGGCACGTGGCCCTGGTTCTGGCGCTGGCAGCCACTCCCTCAACCCCCCCAGACGCGGTGGAACTAGGGGTGCAGGGAGTGGTGGAAGCTGCTGTTGTTCGCAGAGGAGTGCGTTCTGGGCTGGCTCCTAGATGTCACTTGCGGGCAGAAGCCATTGCCAATGAACCGTTTAGTTTGGACATGCTGTGGCGCGAAACGCAGCATCGTCGCAGATGCGTGCGCACTGCCTTGTCGAGCTTAGCGGCGTTGAGAAGCGAGAACCCGCCAGATGTTGCACCCTGTGGGCCCGTGTGAGAATTAATAGGCTAGGAAAACACGCCTGCAGTGCGAAACGCAAAGCCAAAACTTGACGCAGCAAGGCCCAACCTGCCCTAAACCAACCCTACACCGCCCCAAGCCCACCCCCCCTCCCAAAACCTCAAACCCGCACGAAACTGCACACCCAACCAAACCCGCCTGAAACTCCTAACCTAAACCCGAAACCCACTACACCCACCCTAAGCTACAGCTGCGCAACCATAGGTGTCCTTTTTGGTTGATTTGGTTTAGAAATAGAGGGCGATCCCTGGTTTACCTGGTGGTTCAATCAACTACCAGGGAAACCCATCTATTTTCCCAAGAAGGGCCCCAGGGCCATCTATTGTCCAACGAAAAGGACGCCTATGTGCGCAACAATGCTCGAACAAAAAGGCCCCTTTTCAGCTGCCCTCAGGCCGAGCTGCAAAGCGCGAGGCAGATTTGCGCCGGGAGCCCGGACGAGCTCAGAGGAGGGCTGCGGGATGAAAGCCTGACGATTGCTTGACTGCCATGGGGTTGGATCTTAACTTTTTGGTTGAAATCAAGTTAGGTTTGCCACTAAACCCCCAAAAAGTTAAACTTTTTGCACGGGGGTCAACGGCAACCAGTGGGCTGCTTCCTTTTTTCCTTTTTTTGCGCGAAAAGAGGGCCTGAGAAACTAATATCTGCGAGATTCATATTAAAACAGGACCTGCAAAATTCATATCCATGTTAGTTTCCTATTCAAGTTGTTCCAAACGGTTCATTTCCAAAACCTTGAATTTTGCCGTTCTGAATTTGACCAAAGGCCACTGGAAGACCATGTTCCTTTTTCTTCTCGAGATTTTGCGGCTGGCTGCCGTTGATTCCTGGATCATCTTCCCTGGGTCGCTCAATGCTCCCTACCTTTGAAGGTCCTTGTTCTCAGTTGTTCAGTGGCACCAATTATTTTTCCAACTTTTTTTTGGTGGCTGCCCCACTAAAATTGTCTTCCCCAAAAAATGTTCCTTTTTTTCTATGGTCACTGAACAACTGAGTGTTTGGTTGCGTGTTGGCGTCATCCAGCGTCCGGCTTCCCGCGAGCGTTCACCAAGGCCAGGAGATCATCCAGCTAAGGCGCTTCGCCGTTCGCCGTGCAAAAAGAAGTTCAGGTCGACAGATCCAGGCGGTTTGTGAAAGTAAAGCAATACCCTGTGTGTGTGTGTGTTTTGCGGGCCCGGCCAATTGATGGTTTTCCTTTTTGGCCTCACCCTCAGAAAAGAGAGACCCTAAAAGCCTAATTTAGGCTGTTGGTTTTTCAGGGAGCAAATGTGGAGCGGAATGGGCGCCTCCCACAACCCAAACCACGGTTGTAACCTAGCAAGCCCCATGTTGGCATTTTGTTCGGGTGTTCCCCTGCAATGAGAAGCTGTACTATGGTACAAATGAGAACGTTTTGGGTCGCTTCCATCCATTTGCAGCACACGGATGGGGTGGGTGACTTTGCAAACCAGATTAAGGGGCGTCGTGGTCGTGGGGATTGTCTACCCCCGAGAAAAATCCAACCCATTTCAAGGGGAGCTAACGCCTGTAATCAGGTAGTCCTTGTTTGGTTTGGATATGTTTGGATGAGTGGTGTAGAGGATTTGAACTTCTGTTGTCAGTTGAAAGTAGATGAACCTCTCTCAATCTACACCACTTAACAAAAGGAAGCCGATGTAAATCGCAGCGTGGGTACGTCTTTTTCCCCAAAGAAAACAGCAATTCCTTCTATGTTACCCTCTTGGTTTTTTTTGTGAGGGGGGGGCCTCTTAGAAAGACACACCCATGTAAAATCCCCGAAGCCGACAGGTCCCAGCAGTCCAAGGAGCGTGAGCGGCTGAGAGCGGAGGCCAAGCGCTTGCAGCCTGGCGCTCGGGATGCCGAAGCTCCACATGGAAGCTCCCAGAACCCCCCCAGAACTGGAAGACTTGGCTTTTCTTTGGGGTGAGTTTTGGATTTTGGGAAGGTTTGGGAAACGTAGGCCGGCTTCTTTTTCTTCTTTTTTCCCAAAAGCATCTCTGATGCTTGGGTTCTGCTTTAGGTTTTCTCTTAAGGTGCCTGGGAGCGATACAAGCTGTGACGACGGAGATAAGAAGGGATTTCCATTTCGTTGTGCTGCAGACCGGGCGTGCGATGCGGCTGGGGGTGCAGACCGGGCGTACGAGGCTGGCTGGGGGACGGCGGTGTGGGGCTGGCTGGGGGGACGGCGGTGTGGCGCAGACTGGGTGCGCGAGGCTGGCTGGAAACTGCCCGCGGGGACGCAGACTGGGCGTGGCTGGAAGCGAGCGAGACTAGCTGGCTGCGGGGACGGCGGTGTGGTGCAGACTGGGCGCGCGAGGCTGGCTGGAAACCGCCCGCGAGCGAGACTGGCGCGGTGGACGCTCGTGACATGCGGAAACCGCCCGCGAGCGAGACTGGCGCGATACACGCTCGTGACATGCGGAAACCGCCCGCGAGCGAGACTGGCACGGTGGACGCTCGTGACATGCGGAAACCGCCCGCGAGCGAGACTGGCGCGGTGGACGCTCGTGACATGCGGAACCGCCCGCGAGCGAGACTGGCGCGGTGGACGCTTGTGACATGCGGAAACCGCCCGCGAGCGAGACTGGCGCGGTGACCGCTCGTGACATGCGGAAACCGCCCGCGAGCGAAACTGGCGCGGTGGACCTCGTGACACGCGGAAACCGCCCGCGAGCGAGACTGGCGCGGTGGACGCTCGTGACATGCGGAAACCGCCCGCGAGCGAGACTGGCGCGGTGGACGCTTGTGACATGCGGAAACCGCCCGCGAGCGAGACTGGCGTGGTGGACGCTCGTGACATGGGGAAACCGCCCGCGAGCAAGACTGGCGCGGTGGACGCTCTCGTGACATGGCGCGGTGGACGCTCGGCGCGGTGGACGCTCGTGACATGCGGAAAACGCCCGCGAGCGACTGGCGGCGGGGGGTGCAGATCGGGCGTACGAGGCTGGCTGGGGGGACGGCGGTGTGGGGCTGGTGTGGTGCAGAATGGGTGCGCGAGGCTGGCTGGAAACTGCCCGCGAGCGAGACTGGCTGGCTGGGGGGACGCAGACTGGGCGTGGCTGGAAACCGCCGCCCGCGAGCAAGACTGGCGCGGCGGACGCTCGTGACATGCGGAGACCGCCCGCAAGCGAGATTGGCGCGGCGGACGCTCGTGACATGCGGAAACCGCTCGCAAGCGAGACTGGCGCGGTGGACGCTCGTGACATGCGGAAACCGTTCGCGAGCGAGACTGGCGCGGTGGACGCTCGTGACATGCGGAAACCGCCCGCGAGCGAGACTGGCGCGGCGGAGGCTCGTGACATGCGGAAACCGCCCGCGAGCGACACTGGCGCGGTGGACGCTTGTGACATGCGGAAACCGTCCGCGAGCGAGACTGGCGCGGTGGATGCTTGTGACACGCGGAAACCGCCCGCGCGCGAGACTGGCGCGGTGGACGCTATAGTGACAGGCGGAAACCGCCCGCGGGCGAGACCGGCGCGGTGGACGCTCGTGACATGCGGCAACCGCCAGCAAGCGAGACTGGCGCTCGTGACATGCGAAAACCGCCCGCGAGCGAGACTGGCGCGGTGGACGCTCGTGACATGCGGAAACCGCCCGCGAGCGAGACTGGCACGGTGGACGCTCGTGACATGCGGAAACCGCCCGCGAGCGAGACTGGCGGGGTGGACGCTCGTGTTAGTCGGAAACCGCCCGCGAGCGAGACTGGCGCGGCGGACGCTCGTGACATGCCGGCGAGCGAGACTGGCGCGGTGGACGCTCATGACATGCGGCAACCGCCGCGTGCGCGGCTCCATGTCCCGGCGCTCCAGGTACGCCATATATGTCCTTTTCGCCGCACACCTGACCCGAACAAATGGCGCCAATGTGTTTCTAGGACAAACCCTCTCTTCAGAAGCTGTAGCCTCTTGGGGTTCGCCCTACTTATTTAAAAGCAGCCTGGAAGCACGTTGACATGAATATGCTGAGCACACTCGGCCCAAACAAAAGGGCGCATGAACATCCGAACAGCTGACCCCGGTCTACGCAGATCGTGGTACCTGGTAACACTGTGTCTCAGACTTGTTTCGGACAGGCGTCAGACCCACCAAGTGATCGAGGCTTGTCCACACCGAGCCCCCCGCAAAAGCGCAGCGCCGGCCCCGTCTCCACACACCTGCGGCGAATCCACCCAACTTGCCATCCACACGCATCCAATTGACAACGTGCGCGGCCCTTTCCACAAAGTCACCAGTTGCAATTGGTTGCGAATGGGAAAATAGGTGGAGAAACTAACGAATCCAAGCAAGCTTACGAAGCAAGTTTGTGAAGGCCACGTGCACGGCTCCATGTGAACAGCCCGGCGTTCCAGGTGCGCCAAGATTGTCCTTTTTGCCGCACACCTGACCCGAACAAATGGCGCCAATGTGTTTCTAGGACGAACCCTCTCTTCAGAAGCTGTAGCCTCTTGGGGTTCGCCCTACTTATTTGGAAGCAGCCTGGAAGCACGTTGACATGAATATGCTGAGCACACTCGGCCCAAACAAAAGGGCGCATGAACATCCGAACAGCTGACCCCGGTCTATGCAGATCGTGGTAACACTGTGTCTCAGACTCGTTTCAGACAGGCGTCAGACCCACCAAGTGACCGAGGCTTGTCCACACCGAGCCCCCCACAAAAGCGCAGCGCCGGCCCCGTCTCCACACACCTGCGGCGAATCCACCCAACTTGCCATCCACACGCATCCAATTGACAACGTGCGCGGCCCTTTCCACAAAGTCACCAGTTGCAATTGGTTGCGAATGGGAAAATAGGTGGAGAAACTAACGAATCCAAGCAAGCTTACGAAGCAAGTTTGTGAAGGCCATGTGCACGGCTCCATGTGAACAGCCCGGCGTTCCAGGTGCGCCAAGATTCCCCTTTTTGCCGCACACCTGACCCGAACAAATGGCGCCAATGTGTTTCTAGGACGAACCCTCTCTTCAGAGTCTGTGGCCTCTCGGGGTTCGCCCAACTTATTTGGAAGCAGCCTGGAAGCACGTTGACATGAATATGCTGAGCACACTCGGCCCAAACAAAAGGGCGCGTGAACATCCGAACAGCTGACCCCGGTCTACTCAGATCGTGTTGTAACACTGTGTCTCAGACTTGTTTCAGATGGGTGTAGAGCGAGCTTATGCCTTGCTTCCAATTTGGGAGTGGTAGTTTGTGCGGATCCATTTTCGGATTTCTGCGATTGGTTCTTCATGATGATTCGGATGACTTCGTGCCTTCCATGTAGTGCGGGGCCTGTCATGTTTCACCCGTGCCTTTGCCTTTTTCTCTGTGCTTGGTCAGAGCACAGGCTGCTGGCTGCCAATCCGGCTTGAGCCGCGGTTGCTCCCCTTCTTCATCTGTTTTGGGGTTGACTTCCCAACTGCGAACAACTTAAATCTTGGTTTGCCTTCGGACCCTTGAGCCGGAAAACAACGGGATCCACATGCCATGGGGAGTGAGGCTGGTTTGCTTTTGGGTTCCCGGGCTCCTCTTGTTTTTAGTTTTGGGTTTTGGACACTTTTGGGAAAGCTTTTGGGAAAACGTAGGGGGGCGATTTCGTGGCGCTGGTTTGAAAGGCGGCGTGTTTCGGCGCCAGGTCCGTCCGAAGGAACCCACGTGGTAGACCCTCTTCTCCAGGTTCCTGGGCTTGAGTCGCTTGGGGGTTGGTGGCCATTGAAATGGGTTGAAAGAAAAATGTTTTTTTTGGCCAGTCAGCTAGGAAGTGAGAACGAATGGAATGCGAATATTCGCACACATATCACATCACCATTTCACAAAACAATAATTGCTCGGGTGCAAGGGAGAATCCCAACATGGGTGCCTTCGCGGCCTTTAAGGGTTCTTTACATGGTTCATGGCTCCGGGAGGGCCATTCTAATACGGGATTTTTGATTGTGAAACATATCAAATCACGGCCGCAGATGTTCGTACTGATTTGAATCCGGCGCCAACGGTAAAATGTTCACCAGGGAAGGAGTTCATCACTCAGGGCCTGAGATCGGTGACGTGAGCGCGCTCCAGGAGCGCGCACCTTTGTTGAGGGCGCCTTTTGTTTGTGGCTTTGATGGGAGACCATAAAAGCAAAGCCACCATGTTGGAAGCCCCTAAAGAAAGACACACCCACATGAGAATCCTCTGTACTTTCTCTTGACCTCAGCTTGGGATTCTCGTTTAACGTGCTTGAATCTGCAGTTTCAACGTTAGATCAAGGAAAAGAGACAAAGAATAAACGCTGGGTGTAAGTGGTTTCTCTTTGGCTTTACATTAAATCCCCCAAAAGCACCTCTCCTCTTTAGGTGCCTTTTCAAGATGCTCTTTGTTTTTCTTGCTAGTTCTGACTATAATTCATCCCCTGTTGGTTCCCTTTAAGGGAACTTCATCCCAACACCCTGGGTCATTCCCTGAGCACCAGCAAGTGTTGTTTTCCCCCGGGCAACAAGTCCCAGCCTGGGAAGGGGCGCCCGATACCCGAGGTCATCGCTCAAAGAGGCACAAGCTCGCGCCAAGGCCGGACATGGCGGGGTCTCGTTTTGGGCGAGACAAATGGACCCAGAGTCAGATTACCTTTGGTTGATTTGGATTGGTGGCTTGGGGATTGGAAAACCCTATTGCTGGTTTGGCCGCTCCTAGAAGGTGAACAACATCAGCCAGAAATTGGTATCTCTACGATTGCATTGAGCTTTCCTTTTACGATCAGGTCTTAGGCCAAGCCTGAATCACTGTGAAAAACATGTGTAGGTTCTTTGGATCATGACATCAGGATCTCGGCATCCGTTCAGTTGGTAAGGCTTGATGTTTTGCAACAGGCGTCCCAGTCCCGCCTCTTTGGTTTCACATAATATTGGTCCATGCTGCGCCACTTTCGCCTCCTTAAGGCCAGGGGAGCTTCTGATTCGGAGCCAGTTTGGGGTCATGGGCCATCTGTCGACTGTGCCCGATGCCTTCAGCGGCTCATTGGTGGAGCGAAGAAAACCCGACCCCGGAGCCATGGCGAACATCCCCACCTCGGATCTGCCCAAGGAGCAGCAGGCGCGCGAGTCGGGCGATTCGCGGATTTGCGCGGGGAAACGGTCGGCGGTTTTGGGTCGCCTGAGTCGCCGATCGAGGTGTTCGGGTATATCCCCGTCCTAAAAGGGAATTGGAATCCTGGGTCCAACTAGAGCTCCATGTGTGCTTTTTTTGGCCACCGTTTGAACACTTTTTACGGTTTCCGGAGGCGACCCGGCACCTGGCTTTTGAAGGTGGTGAAATAGGTGGCTCTGGTAATTTACTACATTGGACAGATTCTCCCTTTTGTGTCCAATGGTGGGTTTCTCCTGAATTGCGTGGTCCTGATTCCCACCAGCACACCTTACGGAGCGCCTAGGAAGCACCGGGACTTGACTTTTTGCCTTTCGGTGCCGCTCTGGACCTGAAGGCGAGTCCGAACAAAGGCACAGGTTTGGGATCTGGAAGCTCTCATGTAGCTTTGTCTCAAGACTACTCCTGTGCAAAATACTCCCCTCCGGCTGAAAATACCCCCCCCCCCCTCCAAATGGCTCAAGATACTCCCCCCTCCAAATGGCTCAAAATACTCCCCCCCTCCAAACGGCGCAAAATCCTCCTCCCCCCTCCCCCCCCCCCACAAAGGGCTCAAAATACTCCCCACCCTCCAAATTGCCCATTTGGAGGAGGGGGGGGAGTATTTGAGCCATTTGGAGGGTGGAAGGGGGGGGGGCCGCAAATGGCTCAAAACCCCCGCCCCCCTCCAAATGGCTCGAAATACTCCATTTGAAGGTATCTTAAGCCATTTGATTTGGATGAGGGAGGAGTTGGAGGCGGGGGGGAGTATTTTGAGCCATTTGGAGGGGGGGGCATTATTTAGCCATTTTGGGAGGGGGGAGCCATTTGGAGGGGGGCATTTTGAGCAATTTGGAGGGAGTATTTTGAGCCATTTCAAAGGTGGGCCATTTGGAGGGGGGGGGTTCCTGTTCAGCCTCAAAAAGTGTTCCCCGCGAAGGGGTCCAGCTGGCTGAATTTCGTGCGGGCGAAACACCCTTGTACGTGGGGTCGTCAACCCCTTGCTGAGGATCCAATATGATTCACAAAATATTTATTGGTAGTCTGTGAGTCGACTGGACGCGCACATGGGCACCCAATTTCCCCACATTAAGGGGACCACCCCGATGTTAGCATGTCCTCGGGCCGTTGCACATATGGGGCCAGCTTCACGCTGCGCCGATGTTTTTGCGCAGCCTGACAGGACGAGCTCCTGTGCACCTATGCTGCTTTGATCCTGCACGATGACGGCGCAGACGCTCGGACGATGCCGTGGGCCATACGATGCCGTGGGCCATGGGTGTGTTTGTATTTTGCAGTTCTTGGATGGACAAATATGGGGGGTTGATCAAAAGGTCCTTTACATAGGATGGCCATTGGGGAAACCACTAGAAAGATGATATGTCCCACTAACTGCGAAAAGTTACCTATGGTTTGGGGGCCAGGAATCGTGAGATTCTCCGAATCTCCGGGTATCCCGTGTATATATCATCCAGTGCGAGTGGCAAATGCCGAGAATAGAGGAGTTCAGGGCCAAATTGAGGAAGCCCATATCCGCGTCAAGAGTTCCTCAGGGGCGGGGACCCCGCAAAAAAGAGACCCCTCTAATCTGTACTAGTCTCTATCAGGCCTTAAGTGCTATTAGTCCGTATTGGGCTGGGGCCGCTGTTGGGCCCTCAACAGGGATATGATACAACAGAGACCTCCATTGTTGCACAGACCCTTGCAAAACTCCCTGAGGGTGTTAAGCGAAAGTGTGTTTCCTTTTTGCTGTGATGCTTGTAGAAAGGTAGACTTTTTGATACAGGCACGCCTGAGCTGTTTGCGGCAAGGAAGCATTGCACCTGGATGAGCTTTCAAGTTGGAATTGGGCGAGTCTTTCAATGAGGGACATGGTTTCCCTTTGGCTGTCCTTTCAAACCACTCAATTCTAAAAGTACCCAGAACAACTATCCTGCTCCCCCTCGAAAAAAAGACAACAAATAATCCCCCGATTTGGGCTTTTCCGGGGCCGACTCTCTTCTCACAGCTTTTCTTCCACGTGAGGACATCAACCCAGCGAACATGACTAACCTCATCAAGGCGATGGGCCCACGTGTGCGCACGGGGCGGATGTTGTTAGAGGTCGAAAATTCATCAATGGGAGGCCGATTGGCGAAATGTCCCTTCTGGGCCAGTTTAAGAGATGACCGTTTGGGCGCTTTGAAACCAATTCGGTGATATCATTTGGTGATATCAGTGCACCAGACACTCCCCACGTTTCCATGGCACCTGACAGAAGGGCGTCAAGAGGAAATTGAAGTAGTATCATCTGGCTTGCTCTGCCCTTGGTCTAATGGAAAAGCCCAATTTGTTGCGCAAAAGGTCTCTTCCTTTGGGAGATTTGGTCACCAAAGACCAGCCACAGTGGATGCACGTGCCAAGAAAGGTGTGGCGGATGCCAAATATGGGTTGTGTCCAAATGTGGAACCCCCGCAAATGGTCGGTTTCCCTTTAGTTTCCAGCCATACGACAGATGTCGGGAGCAAGTTGGAACCGCTGCATTGTGGCTGGATGTGGTTTTGTGAAGGTTCACATGCAAAATTTCAGAAATAGCCACAAAACGGGGATCCAACGAGCGTCCACCACTTGTGGGCCATGTTTGCCCTGATGTCCTCTTCAAAGAAGCCGTCAGACTGGTAACAGCGGTCCATCGTGTTGACAACCACAAACCGCTTTTCCATGCAACTTGCCGCCAAAAAAAAGCATCGTGCTGCTTCCATCTCGTTTCAAGGTGCGCACACTGTATTTTACGACTTTGGGAGTCGTCCGAAAGGTCCTCGTACTAAGATATGAAGAAGAATGACATTTGGCCTTATGCAGTAGCCTCCACGACGCGACAGTTCTGCGATGGGGTTGGCAAAGCTGGAATTGTTCACATGAGCCACAATCTTGACTTGGGCAATTGGACAGTAGTGGACAGTCTCAACCAGTGATAATGGTGTGTTCGTTGAGGGCCTTGGCCGTATAGGTCTCCTTAGGTTAGTTTGGTTAGACATAGATGGGTTCCACTAGTTGATGGGTTTTATGCCCCGTTTACCAGGGCCATTTAGTTTCCAGAAGGTCACCCATGGCCTTGGCTATGGTCCACGTGTCCAGTTTTTGCCCCAGGCCGCGGGCTGCTCGGTAGAGGGATATTGGCCGATGCTGATGTCCAAGATGATCTCCAACGCTGCGCGGCCGCATGCAAAAAAACCAAAAACGAGTGGGTTGTGTTTTGTTTACACTGAAAAAGCATTTTTTCAAGCCGCTCCGCTCCGCGCCCGCCGTCCGCCGTCCGGCCCCGCCGTCCGCCGCCCTCCCCGCCGCCCCCGCCGCCCACTCACTCACACTCACTGTCTCACACTCACTCACTCACACTCACTCTCTCACAGTCACTCACACACACTCACTCACACACTCACTCACACACACTCACTCACACACGCACCCACACTCACTCTCTCACAGTCACACACACACTCACTCTCTCACAATCACTCACACACACTCACTCTCTCACACTCACTCACACACACTCACTCACACTCACTCACTCACACTCACACTCACTCACTCACTCACTCACTCACTCACTCACTCACTCACTCACTCACTCACTCACTCACTCACTCACTCACTCACTCACTCACTCACTCACTCACTCACTCACTCACTCACTCACACTCACCTGGGCTTGTGTTCGCGTGGCAGGGGCAGCATTTGGCAGCTGTCTAAAGGGATGGGATGTTGTCGCGCGCGCGGCTCGGGGCGCGCGAAATCGTGGCAGGCGCAGCACTTTGAAGATGCCGGTGCCGAAGTCGTGGCAGGCGCAGCATTCTGTGCATCTGAGTGTGTGCTTGCGTGGCAGGGGCAGCATTTGGCAGCTGTCTGAAGGGCTGGGATGTTGTCGCGCGCGCGGCTCGGGGCGCGCGAAATCGTGGCCGGCGCAGCACTTTGGAGATGCCGTTGCCGAAGTCGTGGCAGGCGCAGCATTCTGTGCATCTGAGCGTGTGTTTGCTTGGCAGGGGCAGCATTTGGCAGCTGTCTAAAGGGATGGGATGTTGTCGCGCGCGCGGCTCGGGGCGCGCGAAATCGTGGCAGGCGCAGCACTTTGAAGTTGCCGTTGCCGAAGTCGTGGCAGGCGCAGCATTCTGTGCATCTGAGCGTGTGTTTGCGGCGCAGGGGCAGCATTTGGCGGCTGTCTAAAGGGCTGGGATGTTGTCGCGCGCGCGGCTCGGGGCGCGCGAATTCGTGGCAGGCGCAGCACTTTGGAGATGCCATTGCCGAAGTCGTGGCAGGCGCAGCATTCTGTGCATCTGAGCGTGTGTTTGCGTGGCAGGGGCAGCATTTGGCAGCTGTCTAAAGGGCCGGGATGTTGTCGCGCGCGTGGCCCGGGGCGCGCGAAATCGTGGCAGGCGCAGCACTTTGGAGATGCCATTGCCGAAGTC